GCGCCAGATGCGGAGGAACTGCAACAGTTGCAGGCTGAACTGGCTTACGAAGAGGAGCTGGCAAAACAGGAAGGAGAGCTGCTTCAGCAGCTGGAACAATTGCAGCAGAAGCGAGCCAAAAACACAGTCAGCATGGGCTCACGTGTGGGCCAACTGAAACGCAACCATGTGGCGGTCAACGAGCAGGTCCAGCAGACTGGCAACAGCATGCAGGCCTATGCCATGGAGGGCTCAGTGGCTGCGCAGGCGGCACGTGACGAACTGTGTAGCCAGCTGCAGGCTGCAGTGCTGTGCGTGGATCACGGCGTTGCCAAGTGCTCCACGCTGCAGATTCAGCTAGAGAACTTGAACAAGGAGAGCGCCAAGCATGCTGATCACAGCATTCAAACGGTTCGCATGCATGAACAGCAAATGCGACAGATGTGCTCGACCAGCGAGGAGCGAGCCGAACAGCTGCGTCACGAGCAGCAGAAACAGCTTGAATCAGCCACCGAAAGTATCCATAAGATTATCTCGGATGATGTTAAATTGGGCCATGGGCATGATGCCCTCACTGCCGATCTCATTAATAAACTCTCGAATCAGACAAAGCAGCATGCGATATTGCAGCGGCAACAGTTGGAGACTTGCCACAAGGACCTCTCGAATTTCTATCAGAGCGAGCTTAAAACTTATACGCCAACTGGCACGACCCCATCAAAGCGTGACTTTATTTATCCACGCACCTTGGCAGCCACATCGCCGCATCAGGATATTGTGCGTCGTTATAGGCAGGAACAGGACTGGTCGGATTTGGACACCACAGCCACTATCGATGAGGTAAGTTGTGATCTTATTTATCGTGCATTTCACTTGTATAACTAAATAATAAATTCAATTGGCATTTCAGTGCAGCGAGGGTGAGCCAGAGGTATCGTTGCATTCTGTGCAAGAATTGTCCGAAACGGAGACCATTATGAATTCCACGCCCATTGACCCCGTCGACGGAGGAAACCTGAAGGCTCGAGTGACCAGAAGCGGATCGAATTCGCTAAAGCAACCACTGGTCAACAAACGTAGCAACTCTCTGTCCACTTCCCTGACGCCCAATAAGAATTCGTCACGCAATTCACCTCGAAACTCTCCTCTTTGTTCGCCAGCCTTCAATCGGGTGAGCTATAAATACGAGCTGTTAAATAGTAGAGCAATCATAATTCCAATCGTATTCACTTTCATATCTCTCCGCACAGCACAACAACAAGGAGAATGTGGCCCAGTAAGAGGTGCAGCCAGCAGTCCGCCAATTGGAGCGTTTCTTTATTTGCCTGTTCCTTTTTATTTTAAATTTTACTTTTGCATTTTATTAACTCGTGAAATTCTTATTAAATTTATTATGCACATATATTTTTACCTTAACTAAGCACGCCCTTACTACACTGAATTAAAATGAATATGGTATATGAATTGAAATTCTTGTATAATTTTTGGAATAATTAAAATCGAAACACTTCGGAGTATTTTATTTTCATTAAGGAGAACTATTCGTCCTCCTGCTCATCGTCATCATCCTTGAGTATGCCCAGGCGCCGAGCCACTTCCTTAACATTGGCTATGAACTCCTCCTGCACCAGATTGAAGCTCATGGCCAGCAGCGCGATGCCAAAGAGCAGATACAGCGAGCAGTAGGCAATGGACTGCTGCGACTCGTCCTTCACGCCCTTGTCGGGCACAAAGTCACCGAAGCCTGTAGGAAAAGTAATGCGAGTTATTGGAATATAGATTAATGATCAGCGAGCGCTCACCTATTGTGGTCAACGTGATGAAGCAAAAGTAGGCAGAGTCCAGGAACGACCAGGTCTCCCAGGCGTTAAATAGCGCAGCGCCGCCCAGTATATAGCTGACAACCAGAAAGACGCATAGCCAGATGGGCACTGGCCGATCTTTGGGCACCATGTCGTCGCCATAGTCATCGCCGTACATTGAGTCCTCATCGTCGTAGTCGTAGCTGGGGCGCCGCCTGATCTGGCGCTGCACGGGAAAGCCCATGGGCGACATGATACGTGGGGAGGGCGGCAGTCGGCGTTCGCGACGACGCTCTCGGCGCGGCTCTCTCTCTCGATTGCGGGAGCCATGACGCACTGGATAATCCTCGTACAGGCCATTGTCTTCGCACATGGACAGCTCGTCAAAGCTCTCCTCCACATAGTCTGCGTAGCGCGGCGAACGAGCGCGCCGCTGTCGTTGCGATGGGGCGGGATCGTAGTCTGGCGGCTCGAGATGATTGCCATATCGTGAGGACTGACGGCCCAGACTGCCAGCACGTCGTCCATTGGGTCGTAGCTGTTGTTGTTGATGATGTTGGTGGTGGTGGTGGTGGTGGTGCGAAGGTGGCTGCGGCGAGCGCTCTCGTTCCAGCTCCCTTTGACGTTGGCGCTGACGATGCGCCGACCTGGGCATCGATTGGCTGCGTGGAGCATTGCGAGATTGCTGCCTGCTATTGACCAAGTCGTCGTCCTCCAGCGCATAACGATTGTGTATGATGGGCGTCTTGCGAACCACATCTTCATCCACGTCTTCGTAGTGTGAGGAGGCGTGGCTATGCCGCGGATCCACACTCTTTGCCCGCCCACGACCCGGAACCGAATGCAAGCGATCCAGCTCTCGCGAGGCGCGCGTCTCCTGCTGCCCTGCCCGCTTGGCCGGTGGCTGCATGTCGCTGAAGTCATCGATGGAGCCATGTATGTGGTTTCTCGAGTGGCCCAGGTAACGCTCGCGCTCCACAGTGTGCCGATCCCGCATTCTGTCCCGCTGTCGCTGCCGGCTGCTGTAACGATTGGCTCGATTCAGCGTCTGTGGCTCGTACTCATCCCCGTAGATGGTGTGACGCTTGCGAGGCTCATGCTGCAGCGGCACGTGGTATAACTGTTGGCGACGTGATCGTCCTCCACTGCCCCGATAGCCGCCCCCGCCGCCAAAGTCGCGATCACGATCATCGTAGTTCCTGCCAATCGTGCGCAGCTCTGGGTCCGAGTAGGCGTGACCCAAGGAAGGGCCCAGTCCAGAGTCATTGTTGGAGCGCTGCGTCATCTTCATGGAACGCCTGAACGTCGGCGGCGGCTGGGATCGGGACGTAACCCGCTGCGAACGCATACGAATCGATCTTTGCCTTGAGCGTCGGTTCCTGGAACGCCTGGCCGAACGAGTGCACACGTAGCAGCAGATGCGCCAATAGAGAAACCTGCATGACGGACAGCCAGAGGTGAACAATGGATACGCGAGCTACAGCACTGTGAGCACGTTGAACTCACCGAAACGATGTGGCCATCACATCTCCAATGTTTGACAGACAGAGCAGCATCAATGGGATGCCCACGATGGCATAGAAGATCGTTGTCACCTTGCCCCAGTCTGTGCGCGGTGATATGTGGCCATAGCCTGTCCAGAATCGGAGTCGGGGTTACAGCCAATCATGTTACATGTGAATGAACAAGACCAAAACAAAACATATTTAATGGGACAATCTATGTGGATTATGCTTCATTTAAAAAGGGGTAAGGCATTGATTAAGGGAGGGGCAGGCAGAGGGATTTCTTTATGGCCAACTTGATTAAGTTGCCTTCAAAACATATAAACAACATGAGTTTATCTTTAGTTGTGCCTTGAACTCTATAAATTATTATCTATTCGCTTGCAAATTGGCAAATTGTAAAATTTCTGGGCATGCTAATGGGCACAACGTGCCTAATCGACCTGCTTTTAGGAAGCTAATCTATTACCGTCTCCCCCACGCAAGTACGAAATGGGCTTTTCAAGTTTCGCCGCTAGCTCTGGCGGCGCTGCGGAAGTGTTTGCATTCGCACAGACGCCACGGCTGATGGGCAGTGGGTGCGGCGTTGGCTTAGACCAAACAGACGTCGCGAAGCGTCGGTCATTAAACCCATGGAAGCCAGAGGCAAGTTATTTAATGCCAGATCCATATTGGGTATACTGCCTGAAAGAGTTCCCACCATCAATCTAAAATCTAAAACTCATCTTCGGTCAATCGCGTTTGACCTTGCGTTTGTTTTGAATGTATTTTGTGAAAAATGATTCTAACTTTTGATTTCGTTGGATATTTCCTGCCTCACCCCCTTCCATGCAATCAAGTCCGATGCTGAAACTATTTTAGAGGTCATTCACGTGGACGTTCAGTGGGCCAATCAACCTGTGTGCAGCAAAGTGTAGCCGAAAAAACACACAAAAATAAAACGATGCCATATGCTGCACGATCTGAATGATAAGGCAATTGCCGCTGCACCAAATCCGGGCTTGATCAATAAATGAACTCTAATTATACTCCACAACTTCTGGCATTAAACTGAGCTGTAAAATTTTGTAAACTCATTTGTGAACTCAATTTAATTTCCAGGAAAATGTTTTGTAATCATTCAAAGGTACCCTTCATGGAGTCTAACGATCGTTCACAAAGCGATTTCAATATATATGCGATTTCTACGTGATCATTGTGGACGTGTCCCAATCGATTGCAGCAGTTCCTGGGCGGATCACTGACCACACAGAACACAGAGTGCAGATCACTGATCACTGATCGGCGATCACTTATAGGTTTTTTATTTGCGGTTTGGCAGTCTCTTGGGCATGGATGAATCAATGCTAAATACGTGGGCTGCGTGCTCGCCGATCAAAGCCGATCGCTGATCGCTGTTAAATACGGCGTGTCTTGTCTGCCTCTGCTGCGATCTGGCTGCTCTGTCTTCTCTGTCTGCTCTGTCTGGCTTGTTTGCGTTGATTCATTAGCTGTTTGCAGTGCGGCACAGTGGGCCTCATCATATGCTGATCGCTGGCCAATGGCAATGGCAGTGGCTGGTCCCACTGTGCCCGTCCATGTGCCGTCCTCGCCCAGCCACACTCGAGTGACTTTAGTGCGTCGTCGTTATGCTTGTCGTTGCTGTCGCTGGCCCATTGTTATATAAGTAGCGTGTGCCGCTCGCATTGCCGAATTATTCTGTTCGCAGCGTTATACGAGAAATACGGGTCAGTGTGTGAACCAAGCAGAGTCATAATAATATAATCAGAGCTCCCATTGAATCGCGGTCAACTGCAAAAGCATGCGAAAACATTGCCTCATCGTGTTGCTGGCTGCCAGCATCATCTGCCAGCTGGCCATTGTGTCCGCAAGATCGCCGGAGGATCATTGGGTGTGGCGCACCTACAGCAGAAGGGAGCGCGCCTTCCATGACAAGGACATCGATCGCAGTGGCTCTCTACGAAAGCCCAACCAAAATCAGTTGAGACGCGAGCCGACAACACGGCGACCGCTGCCTGGCGAGCCGGAGAACGATGAGATCGAGGACTATGTGGATGTGGAGCCCACAGTGACCACGCCGCCCAATGTGGGCACCCGCCAATACAATCCCTACCCGAGTGGCAATCCCTATGGCGGATTTGGTGGGCAGCCAGCTAGTGGAGGCCAGTTTGCGGGACTTGGCGGCTTTGGAGGTGGCAGTCCAGGTGTGCTGGTCGGCCCGGGAGGACCTACGGGCATTATAGGCCGACCACCTGTAAATCCCAATGTCTACCAGCCTGGATTCGGGGGTGCACAGAATGGATTAGGAGCAGGCAATTATCCTGGTGGATTCGCAAACGCGGGTGCCGGTGCGGGCTATCCAGGACTGGGTGCTGGACTAGGAGGCTATCCAGGACTGGGCGCTGGAGGCGCTGCCTATCCAGGACTGGGCGCTGGCGGAGCAGCTTATCCAGGTTTAAACACAGCCTTCCCAGGCCAGCCCGGTGGACAGCTAGGCGGCGTCGGCGGCTTGGGCCAGTTTGCTGGCGCTGGCAATCAATATCCGTTTGGCTCTTATCCAGGCTCCAACTACAACACCAATCAGTATGGAGCACAAGGCGGTCAATATCCAGGACTGGGGCAATACCCATCCAATCAGTACGCCGGACCACAGTACACTGAGGGCTACGGCCTGGCCAACTTCGGGCCGCCGGGTCTGCCACCCACAGGATTTGGTGGCAACTATGCGGGTTTCGGCTATGACGAGAAGTCGCCCGCCGTGGCCGAGGGCAAGAATGCCAAAAGTGTGTCCATCAAGCCAGCGGCAGTAAATGATAAGCTAAATAAGAAGATCTAGAGCTAGATAGAGCAAGATCTAGTAGCAATTCTCCCTCTCATAGAGTTTAGTGCTTAGGATTAGATTTATGTTTAATGCGAATAAATTTCTGTGGAACACTCACCAATCGTGGTTATGACTATGATGGAGTAGAAGAGTGAGCCGGCGAAGGTCCACTGCGATTTGAGCAGGTCCTCGTCGCCATCCCAGCCGTCTGTCTTGATGGCCGTCATGATTTGCTTCTCAAAGTTGGCCAGGTGCTTGCTCACATTCGCCATCCAATCGCTCTCGCGCAGCACGACCGCATCGTCGGAGAGCAGCCAAATGCGCTCGGTGAGATTGAAGCGCAGGTTCCGTATGTCCCGCTTGACCTGCTCGGGCAGTGCTGTTGGGTAACTAACTCTCTTGTGGAATTGGAATAGCCAAGGCAGTCTCTCACCTCAATTTCGTGCGGCCGTTCGAGGTGCTGAAACAAATAGGCGCCGCCCACACAATACGAGACGACGAGCAGCACGAGCAGCACATGGGAGACGATGCAGCTGAACACCTTCCACGAAACGCAGATGGCAGTCACACAGCGTCCACGCTCCGGCTTCACCGGCTCCAACATGTGCGGCGGCAGGGACTGGGCTCGCCTGCTCGACATGCTGATGCACCCAGAGGGCTATGCGTCTTCCCTTGGCCAATTTCGCGGTTCGCTGCGCACAAATTATGAAATTGTGAATCGGAATTTGAGAAAAGCGCACTGAGTGACAAAGTCGACTAATGAATGCGCTACAATCAGTGCGAATACCCTATATTTGCAGTGCGAGGGTATATAAATCAGAAATCAGGGCAAGACACGGTTGAGGCAACAATTTACAATTACAGGTGGGCCAAGAATGGGAATGGGAATGGGAAATCCCAAATCTCACACATGTTCATTAAGTTTTGTCTAAATATTTATTTAGTCGACTCGCACCGACGGCCTCGCAAGGTCGGGTAAGTGGTTTGGGAGGGACGCAAACTTGCGGCCGTGTTTTATGGAAACTATTTTGGGCAACAACATCAATCTCATCAGCACTGCCAGCACAGACAGATGGATGGTTGGACAGGCGGACAGATGGACAGAGCCAACCAAGCAGGGCAAGCTGCTAAGAAATTTTTACTTTTCATAGTCCAAATACTAGCCAGACAGATGAACCATATGCACATCTATATATATATACATACATATCTATATGTATTTATACAGAACTTGATGATGAGAGAGACGTAGCTACATATGTGTTTAAGATGTCTAAATAATTAGTTTCTTTGATTTCATTTGATTTCCTTAATGGGCAATTATCTGTTGAAATTTAATGAACTTGTTGCCTGTTGAGTGCTGAAGGCATCATTTACATTTATGTATGCCAAATTTTCTTGAACCGTACCGCACTTTATATATTTCTCTTTTCACTCCAAGCACTTCCAACAGTCAATTCATTTCTGTTTTGTGAGCACCGTTGCGTCTCGACACTGCGTAGCGATCCCGACGACTCTCCAAAGATTACTGAACTATTTCTCTGATCAGCAGCGATCGCCGATCGGCGAGTGGTTTATTTTAGTTGCTTGTAGTTTTTCTATTCTGAATATTTTGGAATACTTTTTGTTTACTTTTTGGCACTGCGCGTAGTTCACTTGTTCTCCCGAGAACAAGAGCTACGACCAGCAGCTGATCTCAGACAAAGAAAATTGAGTGCAGTTTCTCTTTTGATTTTATGGTAATAGGTAGTAAAGTTTTCATAGAAATCTCTTAATATGTCACTGCTATGACTGCTTGTTAAATTTGATAGAGTATTAAGAGTTAATTACGAAAAATCGACTTGATATTGATATATAGCTATCTATAGATATATAATGTACAGCAGGCAGGATTTAGTGGACGTATGGAGAGCATGTGGAGCAGATCTGACAGCTAGAGCAGAAATAGAGGTCTATGGGGAATATAAATCAATAAGTATTGCTCGAATTAACATGATTGATTAGATAACAAACAACGTTATTGGTGGAGGGGCAGAGAGTGAAAGTTAATCAAAGTCAAATCAATTTATTGGCTATTTATAGTTAATCAAATTTAGAGTTTATCAATCGATATCTAACATGCGAAATGAGCCATCCAGGCCGAAGTAACTCTGGCAGTCTATATTGGCGGCGTTATCATCCCTCAGCTTCTCGTTGCTGCCAAAGAGATGCGATTGCTCGAAGTATTCCCGGTAGCTCAGCATTTTGGACTCCATTTGCCCAATGATGTCCTGCATAGTACCTCTGCTGCCTCCGTACTCCTGCGGCAAATAGTCGCGTTTAACGCACTCAAAGATCGCCTCCGGATCGGAGCTGACAGAAACCTACAAAGAGTATCATAAAATAAATGAATATCTAATCTCATGGATATGACTTACCCGATTCTTAATCTTCGCAGGAAAGAAGGCACGCAGCGAATTGAAACCGCTTTCAAACGACGCCGGCACATTAATGAAGTGAATCCCCTTCTGCCGCGTGGGCATGGCCTCATCCGCAAAGGCTGAGAACTTGCTGAGCAGCTGCGGCTGCAGTGCAAACAGGTGGGCAGCGGTTACTCCTGCCATGTCCATGATCTCGATATAGCCGCTGACATTCGCATTGTCGTCTTCCAGCATCATGATCTCACCAAACATGGAGCCCACTCGAATGATGTCCTGGAACTTGAACTTCTGCGTATCGTAAGACCCGGCACGAATGATGGTCACAGCCGGACCGGTGTCGCCCACATCCAAGGGTATCCTTAGAATAACACTTTAAACAGAAAACTTTATTTGGGCGATCTATTTTAGAGACTTTTGCTTGTCTACCCCATCCGAATGATTTCCAGCACCTGAGCATCATCGGCTAAACGATGCTCATTGAACACCTCAGGTATGCTAGCCTGCAGCGTGTAATACCGATCAATCTTGTGCTTGGCCTTCTCCAAGCTAAATTTGCTACCACGCAGAAAGCTCAGCAGGAACTGATCCGAGAGGCAGGAGCAGAGATGCGGCTGCTTCAGCAGCCATTCCCGTAGAGCAGCAATATCTGAGAGGACACGATCCGGCACCTCGTTCAGTTCATCAATAGCTTTACGTTGAAGTTCCGCTGGCAACGGACGTACTCCGGCGAATTCCTTTGTAATGCTCATGGTAATCAGATGCATACTGACATATCGATCAAACCCAAATTGCTCAAAATGCAATTTTAGCAGGTGAAACTCTATTAGTCTAATATGATAAGAAACAAAGGCAAGTATTCGAGCTAATCTGTCTATAGATTAGAAACATGTCGTTGAGAATCTTATCACAGTGTTGCCAGCTGTTGAGCTCCGACATAAGTTGGATTGTGGATAAATGTGGGCTAACCGGGGTAAAGTGAAGGAAAACATGCTGGAATAGCGGCTAGATGAAAAATGGAAGAAAACATACAATAATAGCAAATATATTAAAATATTATCATTATTCTAAGTATTTCCTTTTCTTTTAATTTTTTATTGCAAGTGTTACCTCCAAGAATTTCGTCTAAGTATTTCCTCAAGTTTTCTCTTCTCTTTACCACACTTCACTACACTGAGCCCCATAAGCGACTGAAGAAATGCTACAGCTGCTGCCCTTTATATAGGGCGACTTTCACTCAAAGCCTAGGTCTCTCTCAGTCGAACTTTAAGTGACCAATGGGAACTCTCTCTGCTGCTGCAAGCATTCTAGCTTCGTTTTACTCAAACACAAATACCAAATGCATACTGCTGCATACATATAGGCAACGTAAATGATCTTTAATTCATCTTCGTTCATTGCTTTTGTTAGGCATACAGAGAGACGGAGAGACAGACTGTGCGATAGACATGACTATTTCTAGCCTGAAAAAGGCTAAGATAATAAGATAATTGTTGATCAATAATATACTTAATATATATTAACAATAAAATCTAATTTGTATTAATATTATACAAATGCACTTTAACTTAATTAATAGCATTCTGGTTTGTATTAAAGATTAGCCCCTTGGAACTACATAAGGGTTAACAATGCGTAGCTATTTTGAATGCTAACTAACAGGAGCAATAAAGTGCGCCAACTGCTGTTAGTGATGAGCCAGCGCAAGAAACAGAAACCTTCACAGATTTTGCACTATTTATTAAAATGTTTGATTTAAAAATGGTACGAAGTTACATTTATTAAATTAAATATTATTTTCACACTTTTATAAAAATTGTGACTCATTGAAATTGCGTCAACAGATACATAAATATCGACCATCTCTAGCACTTGGCAATAACATTGTGTGCTAACAGCAACAGTCGACTGTTAACTAACAGCACCCCACAGTAAGTTAACAGCGCCTTTCAGCAGACGCACTCATAAATACAAATAGAAATAGATAAAATAATCAAAATTGAAAAGCGCTAATTTGGTAAAATTAATAGCGCGCGTTTTAAGTACGTTTACAACATCAAAATTAAGTTAGGCATAGAGCTTTTTAAACGAGACCACGTGCGATTTAAATGCGCTTTCAAGTCAGCAATTTCGAGACGTAAATTGCATTGCAATTTAATACAGCTGCCGCATTGCTTAAATAATACTAAATCAAAGTAAGTTTGCCAAAATACAGAAGTAAAAGTGTGCGTTGGGCCATAAGCTAATGACAGATGCAATCAGCAAAGGGCGTCGCAATGCCACATGCTACGGCAACGGCTACGGCAGCCGCAACAGCAGCAAACAGTCCGTGTGGGTGGCATCTGCCCAGCGGGTGGTTGGGTGGGTCACATGCGACCCCCCATGCGTCAAGGGCAGCCACGGCGCGCCGCTGCAAGGTGTCGTAAGTGCCGCGAACTGTCATTCAACAATTCAGCAAATTTTAAGACCTTAATGCCATGGATCTTGTTTTCGCCAGCACTATGAGCCGGGCCGTGATTCATCCGCGTCGTAAATCGTCAGATTGACGTAATGTGCATATGCAAATGTGTAAAAACTTTCAATTTGTGTGCTTTCTATTGCAGCCAACCCGTTTCTGAGATCCACCTACCGGAGTTAGAATGCAAAACAATCCCAGTCCACAGTTACCATGCAAGGGCATTTTAAAGACTTCGCGCAGTTTTGACAAGTCGGGCGCCAGGTGAGCGCTAGCAACTCTGACCTTTTAGATTAGCCAAAAGGGCTAAACTGAATTCGCTATTTATTTTTTTTTTCGCAATGCTCGCAGTTTTCGCAAAAGTGCCAAGTTCGATGAGCTAAATGTGCTGCAAACATTTCATCCAGTCGACAAGGATTACGGACACATGAAGATCGATGAGCCAAAAACACCCTACAACTATACGGAGCCATTCAATGAGAACAAAGACGAGCTGGACACCGAGCTGCTGGTCGAGAAGTATATCAAATATCCACACCCCTGACGGGCGTTACCTGATTCTGTATATTTATATCTCGTTACAGACTACGTATTGCTGCCAGCTCACAACAGACTTCCCAAAGCATTGACGATGAAGGGTCTTCCGGCGATGATCAGCCCATTAGCGAAGAGGAGCGACGTAATATGAAATACGATACATATATAAACAATGCCCACATATTTCTCTAAAATATTTGTGTCTTATTACAGAACGGCGTCGTGAATTCGAGAGGCGTCGCAAAGCGCATTATCGCGAATTCGAGGCAGTTAAATTGGCTCGCAAATTGATTCAGGAGGAGGACGATGATGATGATGATGATAATGAAGTAGCGTCTGGCTCCATCGAGGCCTCCAGTTCCGCCAGCTATGCGAGCTGCTCAAACCAAAAGCCAGGTCCAAAAGCAACCACATCCGCGTCCACCAATGCCAGCAATACCAGTACCAACAACATGGAGCTGGAGCCATCCCACAATTAATAGCAATACGTATAAAACAATATCAAACAGGGTTCTAACTGGCGTTAATTGTTGATGTTTATCGTTGTCCACGCTGGCTGCTCATCCGAAACTTAATTTATTGCTACGTGATGAATTGAATTGAATTTACATTTACATTTACATTTACCCAGCGGGTCGGGTAACGTTCGTATGTTTCAAATCGCAGCCGGCGCTAAATTGTGTTTTCCATCAATGAAAATATATATTGCAAATGAAATAGAAATCTAATGAAATTACGCTGCTGGATATTTTACAACTAAAGTGCACATTATAAACTAATATACGAGTAAATATACATATATATAAATTGGTAGCGTTATATATAGTCGAATGTTTCTTTGATCTGATCTACCATTTGTTCTCAATCGAATAACTGAACTCAAATCTTAGTCCAAAACTCCAAGCAGAACGCATTCATATGCATTTAATTTTCAATAAGTGGAAATTTAATTTCTCATCACACACAAACATATATATACACACACACACACACACACAAAAGTGCCACAAAAGAAAAGTAAATAATGATAAGAATGTAAGCCGAATGAGGAAAATCGCGTTGGAGTCTTGAGCATGAAATTGAAGTTGAAATTGATTTGGCCTTACGTTTAGTTATTTATTAAAAAAAAAATAAAAATAAAACAATATGTACTATTATTATAACTAACTATGATAGTTATGATTACGATTATTGTGTGAATATAATAGTTTTTAGCAATGCGATGCGAAAGTTTCAATAAAGAGCAATGTGAAATCCTTTGTAAAAATCACAAATCATGACTCTTCAATGGCAATGCTCGACTAGCAGATACCTGAACTCTGCTAACTTAACTTATGGTAGTAAACTAAATTGTGTATTCATATTTTTCTTTATGGGCTCACATATTGTGACCAAGAACTAGGCAGCCAACCCCCCACATTCCTCAAATTCCTTTAAAGAAAACACATAATCAGAAGCCAAATTCTTCTCTCGTTGCGAGTATTCAGAAACTTGCCATTTATTTATATTTCATTTCATTGTTTGTTTTTTTTTCCTTTCTTTATATATATAGATATATGAATATACATCAATTTGTATGTATAAGGTTAAGTCCATTTGATTGATTCGACATAATTGGTTTTGCTTTTTGTTTCTTTTTTGGGTAAGTCTGGGTGTTTCTTTCATTATAGATGGTCGTCCGAGCGGCAAACCAGGTCGCGCACAAAGTTCTAGAACTCCCCGCACTAGTGGAGCAGGCAAAGGCATCCTCATTTGTTCACCTGCCGGCCGAGAGCGAACTGCTATGCGGACCTGTCCGAGTCGCCCGGCGACATAATTAGTTACATATTCCATTTTTCTTAGAGTATGTATGTATGTATATATATATCTGATAAACTCACTGAACCATCGAACTTCACGGACTATCGACATTTTTTATATATGCTCGTTAACAATAAATTCGTAATATATAAGTATATATAGAACAAAATAATATTCACAAAAAATCATGCAAACTCAAACTATTTTAACAATAAAACTCAATGCGAAGCAGCGCCCAGAGTCAAGCCCAACGCAAACCTAAGCTGAAGACTCTATAAATAGGGCTCTATCGATTCAATTTACAATTTTAGCCAGAAGTATAGAGTCTTAGGCCAAAGGTCTCTTCGACCTGCTCAAGGCGTGACTGCTCGCACGGTCTATAGAGTATATAAATAGATAAATTTATAAATATGTTAGTTCGTTTTGTGTTGTTTAACATTTATAATTATAACAAGGTTTCATTTTCCATATCATATCCGTTTCATTTGCTAGGTCTCAACTTAAGTGATAAACAATTGGCAACATAAAGGTTTGTATCTATGCTCCAATATACTATATCTATATGCAGTCTGCATATAGCGCCCATATATCGAGTTACGTCTGCTCAATGTTGACGATATATGAGCTCCTACGTGTTTATAGAAGTAATGGGCGTACTTCGTACCCTGATATTCGTTTCGTTTTGGCATATTCATATACATAATGATAAATAGATAGATTGATAGATTGATAGATAGATAGATAGATACATACGTATATAAAGTTGACTGTGGGTTAGTTAAGTTTTAAAATTAGTATAACAAAATACATATAGTTTTTTGCTTTGATTCGTTAGTCGTCGTTTTAGTAACATATACATGATCGTTTTTAGTATTATATGATGTGGGTTCCATTGATAAAAATTTGCATTTTCCGTTTGCTTGATGAGCTCTACGTGATCCCCTTCTTAGGCTCCGAATATGTGCTGAGTGCCGGGTGGCACCTTATAGCTGGGATAAGAGTGGTTCAGCTGATGCTTGGCAAAGAAGGGCGTGTAGTCCTGTTTGACAAGAGAGAGAGGCAAGTATATGATAATAATTATATAAATATCATACAGTTTAACTGAGAAACTCTGTGTACCCAGAATTGCACCTATATTACATTCAATCTCTAGCATTCTTCACTTACACGATTGACTCTACGGGGACGGCAAACGGGGCCCAGCGCCAACAGGCGACGTTCCTCGTTTTCGCGTACAGCAGCTTCCTTGTACTCCTGTGGTGGCCATTTCAAATCTCCGCGCAATTTGCTGCCTCCTACAAAGAGAGAGATAATGAGATTAGTCCAGTTGGCGCTCCTCTTCCTGCTCCTGCTGCTGCTGATGCTCACCTCGATAGCTGACGGCGGCAGGCTGCGAAGTGTAGACTGGCGCTGGCTTCTGGGAGACGGGCGCCTCCTTGCGCAGCGTTATGATGCCAGGACTGGCGCCACGATAACCATGCTGATCAGTCTGATCCAGCGAGTAGGGCACCTGCTGTTGTTGCTGCTGCTGCTGTGGCTGCGAATAAGAATTGTATTGTGGTTGAGCATAGTTAGCACCACCATTTTGCTGTGGATAGTTTTGTTGCTGTTGGTATGGCGACGTCTGATAAGGAGCCTGATATTGTTGCTGCTGCGGCTGCTGCTGGTGCTGCTGCTGCTGGTGCTGTTGCCACTGCTGTTGCGGTTGCTGCTGCTGCTGCTGGTAGTTGTTGTAGGACGGTGCACCATATTGTTGCTGTGGTGGTTGCTGCTGTGGTGGTATTCAGTGGTGTTGCATGCGAGTCATGGTGTTTCAGGTGCCAATCGAGACAGAGGTTATGGATGTTGTTGGTGGTTTGGGTGCAAGTGCAACAGTTAAACATTTACACAAACAAACAGAGTAAACAGACACCGGAGTAAAGAGAGATAAGAGAGACAATTAGGACAGGTGTGTTAAAGGTGTGTCAAGTAAATTAGTTCGTAATTAAGTAAATCGTTTAGCATTAGAAGCGTGTCGCAGTTTACAGCTGAAATTTGCATAGAGAAAGCAGAGCAGAGAATAGAGAAAGAGTGAGAGAGAGAGAGAGAGAGAGAGAGAGAGAGAGATATGATTGCTACAAGGAACGCATAGGTAGGTATGTATGTGTATGTATAGAGATATGATTTTCAGGAACATAGAGAAACATATAGCCAACAAAGCAGTATTAGAGCTAAAGCCTGCGGGAAGCTACGAGAACTGAGACAGAAATTTGATTGGAGTAAGACTCAAGCCTTACTTCAAGCAACTTTCTTGTAAAGTTCTGGGTTCAGTTCAGGTATTTGCCGGCACGCATAAACGCGTTCATTAAGCAGTTAGTAGCCTAGCAAGGGGATTCCAACTTTCTGTTGTATGTGTGGGTGTTGTAGATAGACAGCAGCAGCAAAAGTTTCTTGCATCGGGAGCCAAAGCCAGGCTATAAATCCATTCAGGCAAACGGTACCTGCTGTTGATATTGTTGCTGCTGTTGCTGGTAGGGCGCAACGCCGCCAGCAACGAAATCTCTGTGCGTCTTGGGCTTTGGTGGACCAATATGCTTCCAGCCTCCACCAACGTTGTTTACGGTCTGAAGCGGCTGCTGTTGCTGCTGTTGGTAAGACGGTTGGTATTGTTGCTGCTGCTGCTGCGGGGGCAACTGTTGCTGCTGCTGTTGCTGTTGCTGTTGCTGTGGGTACGATGGGAACTGAGCTTCGACTGTTGGCTCCCGCGAGCGTTGTCTATTGAACTGGGCCTGTGTGTATTGGATGGGTTGTTGTGGATAGTTATAGGTATTAGCTGGGGCGGCAGCAGCAGCAACTGTTGCTGCTGCCGCATAATTAGTGGCTGGACCATAAACATTCTGAGCGGGTTGCTGGTGTGGTGGGTATCGCTGTTGTTGTTGTGGTTGTGGCTTTGGTTGTGGGTGTTGCTGGGTTCGTGGTTGAACGTTGTTATAAATGGGGCCCTGCAAGTGTGTAGTGAGTATTCTTTGTTAGCTGAGTGGGTGGGTGGGTTGCTGTAAGTGTGTAGGTGTGTGTGTGTGTTTGTGTGCATATATATATACAGTAATGCCTCACCAGATACCCAATGACAATTGCAGACAGATTAACAATTATATTTACAATTTACACAGTATTTACACAGATTAGCTATATATACACTAGAGTGAGATATATTTATATACAATCACGAGTCTTAGTGGGGCTGGCAGCTGTGCTGGCACAATTACCTGAGCTGGAGCAGCATTCGCGCTGGCTGCCTGGCTGGCAGCTGGCTGTGGGTAGTAGCCACCGCTGCCTGGCGCCGGGCTTTGCGTCTGCGGCTGCGGCGTGAACTCGCGCACGATGCGCTCCTCGGAGGCTGGCGGCCAGGCGACGCGCTTGTAACCTGTGGGCGGGAAAACGGGGGGGCACAGATATTAAAAAGACCATGTTCACTGCTGTATATCAAATATGCAGTTGGGTGGGCGGCGACTGTATGTGTGGGTCGCCAAAAAAAAAAAAAAAAAAAAGAAAAGACAAAAAATACATTCAACATTCAACAAAATGCGGCCAACACGCGCACTGACGTGGGCGTCGCTGGCCTTGGAGATGCACACACAAATAGAAGACAAAGAGAGTGTGAGAGAGAAAGAGAGAGAGAGGGAGAGGGAGAGATATAGAGGTGTTTGGGCAAATATTAAAGATTCTCGATGGCTCAGTGCAGGACAAACAATTTGAAAATGATTTAAGCCAATTAAAAGTGTACAAAATAAATAAACGAAACATCTAGCAGGCGAGGCGAAGAGTGCCAGACTTTTCGAATTCAAATTGCAAATCATACGCTGTTGTCTGTTGTCATTGTGTCTAAATTTAGCTGACGATTCAAAAACAAAGAATTTGCAGCAGCACGGCAACAGAAACAACAACAGCAACAACAACAACAGCAACTGTGACGATGATAGAATTGACACATACGTGGAGGCATGTGTGGGTGTTGTTTGTGCAACATGTTGCTGCTGTCGTTGAGAGGCACACTAACAGCAGCAACAACAACATGAGCTATTGACAGCTGCTGTTGCTGCAACATGTTGCTGTTTGGCACCGACTGTTGCTGCTGTCAGTGATTGATTGCAACAACAGCTGCAATAGCAATCATCATCAAGACATCATTGACACATGCACATACATACGTGCAGGCGGTGGGTGTGGGCGGTGTTCGTGCAACATGTTGCTGCTGTGACTGATTGCTAACTATAATATAACTGCAATGACAGCAGCAATGACACATATGCGGCAACATGTTGCCATGGCGAATGATTGTAATAACATTGCAGTTGCATTTCAGGCAACATGTTGCTGTTGTTGTTATTGATTGTTGCTGCTGTAAATAAGAGTGCAATCACAGCATCCACAGCAGCAGCAGTAATTAAACTGACAATGACAAAGTGAAGCAAAGTTGTTGCTGTTGCCAATTACTGTTGCTGCTGTCGTTAATTGCAAGTGCAGCAATATTAACTAAAGAGCTGCAACACCAATTCTGATGGATGTTGACTGAGTGTTGCTGCTGTAACCTGCAACGTGATGCAATTACAGCAGCAACAGCTACAAGGGCTATGCTGATGATAATCTAGTTATTGCTGTTGCTGTTGTTGTGTCTGATGGTGCAGCAGCAACATCAGCGCCTGCCTTGCCACAACAGCAGCAGCAACAATTGCTCGCCGAATAAATCAATGAAAATTAAGTTGAATAAGTTGAATCATGAGTATGCAATATGTTTACCCTCCATATTCTTATAGTTCTGGTTAATCAGTCTCCACTGTGCGCCCATCCTGCAGCTGAGTTTCTGTTGCTATGAATTTGTGCTTAGGTGTTGGTTGCTTCTGTATTTACGATCGAGCGCCGCGCGTATAAATAAATTTCTTTTTAATATTTTCGCAGCTCTTCTTCTTTGTTTTTCTTTTTTATGACTTTGTTGTTGCGTATAAAATAACAGCGTGTAGGTGTGAGTGTGTATCTGTTTCTGTATATCTGTGTGTGGATGTGTGTGAATTCACACTCAAATTATGATTTAGCTGATATACACACACGAAAACCGTTATGTAATAACTATTTAATTAATTGATGCGTTTGATTAGTGAAGGTTCTTTGGTTTTTCTTTTCGCTCTTCGATTTTCGGTTTTCGGTTTTCGGTTTTCGGTTTTTGGTTTTCGCTTTTTGCTTCTATTAAAAAATGTTTAGTCGGAACACCACAATAAATTTCGATTTAAATTTAAATTATATACAAATTAATTGGCAACAACAATTTCAGCTGGCGCGCGGTTCGTTGAATAATTTTCTATATATTTTTTGGTCGATGTTCGTTATTGATCGTTTGGGAAAAGAGTTGAAAAATCAATTTGAATTAAATTTCTATTTCTATATCTATTTGCTAATTCGTTCGCGTTGGCCGCGCGATATCTGTGTGCCTTCGATGTATGCTACTAAGTGAGCAGCTCGCTAAACGCTCGGCAAATTATTCAACCGATCCGAAAGCTAATCCCCACAGATTCACATATACAAAGAGACTAAGAAATTGACAGAGAGCGAGAGAGAGAGAGAGAGAGAGGTAAAAAGAGGTAGAGAAAGTGTGAGAATTTTCGCAAGAAATAAATTCTACTTCGATGCGGTTGCTGCAGCCTGAGCTTCACTAAATACGCGCAAATTAAATAGCTGTTAATGATGCTTGGGCCTAAAGACACCCGCCACCCGCTCCTGTCACCTTCCTCGCTGCTTCCTGCTCGCACTTGATGCTGCTCTTTCTTCTGCATTGTTTACACCTTCGATTTTTGATTTGTGCCGCACCTTGAATATTTTGCAAGGCTACACACACACAGACATTTTGCATACATTGTTCAGTTGTGTTTGAAATATAATTATATAAATCGCTTAGCAATACGTGGGGCCATTATAGCATATAGATCGTAGATCGTAGATCGTAGATCATATCGCCAGCAGGGCACTTGGCAGTACGTTTAATAAATGTTCGGTCCAAATCTAGTGGGCGGTTCACAAGTCGCCAAATCCATGGCGTCGCCTATATATACATATATATATATAGATATATACTGTCTGTGCTGTCTGTGAGTCAAGTGCTGGGCCCTCTGAGTAGTTTGGTTTGGCTAAAATTAAATGGCCAACAATACGCGAAATAAATCTGTTTTTAAACGTATTCGCACAGGTGTACGACAAATGTTGGCTCATTAAAATTATTAGCGAACATGTAAGACTAGACGAACTGCAACATATTGAATATGCATTAACAAATCGTTGTCTTTGCGCTTGTTAAACACGCCTTAGCACATGATTTATGTGCGCTGGGGTCTGCCAAGGATCGCAGATAAGTGTACATCTAAAAGGGGGCACTCGAGTGGCAAATCGACTGTTAGATAATATATGTTTGCTAGTTTTTGTTTCATTTCAATACCCATTGACGCGCTGCGGTACCTTGTTCTGCTTTTGAGCGAGTCGGTTCCTTGAAACCACCTGGCTAAATGCTTGAAATGTGTCATTATTTCACGAAATCTCTTTCGATCTTCTGTCTGCTGTCAATTTTGAGCTGTCCTATAAATAACTGGGCATAATTAGTAATCTCTGCTGCAATTGGGTAGATACGACCAAGAATTTCAGGCATGGCCATTGTAGTATGCTTTGAAGTGCCACGGTCTGCTGATGTCTTAGCACGAGCTGCGTGCTATATCAAGGCGAGGAAACAATGCTTTGTATACCCTGCCGGTCAAGGGATTGGCATGAGTATGGGTATGCTAAAGCAAAGGTGTTGAGGCTGATAGATAAATGATTTCTATATACATATATGTAGTTGAAGAAGAAGAAAAAGTTGCAAGAGAAAGTTCAGACTAAGTAGTACAAGATATCTATAGTTAGATATGTATAGAAACTAAAAGTTATATAGTACAGGGTATCTTCCTGTATTGCAAATTTCGTTCGAGTGAGACACTGACATAAGCACTCTAACATATTTGTATTTTACTTTTGTATAACACACACTCCTTAAGTAGGTCTTTACAGGGAGCTTCACTGTTAAGCTGCAGTACAGTTTGACATTCACATACTTCTCTGACATAAATATGTTTTTAGCCAAGACAAATTTCTATAAAACAGGGTATCTATTAGTGTATCACTCTATCATGAGATAGTTTTCAACGAGCAAATTTAAGATACATTCATCACATTTATATTCATTCGCAGACAAACTGTCATACAGTTTGACATTTACTGCTTGCAACACTTTGACAGGAACTGAACACAGAAACCGAAGATCACAGATGCATCATGCCACACTCAATGACTCAATGAATCAGTGATTCAATGACAGCACAAGGATTCGCAACACACCTTCAATGCCCATATAGGGGCGTGGCGAGACATTGTCAAAGGATCGATTGACGCTGCGCTCGCGCGGCAGCTCCTCGCTGCTGCCTGCCAGAGACTTGAAGCCAGTGAACTGTGCATCCCGCTGCGCTTCCACGCCCAGGCCGTGCTGCACGAGAAACTCAAAGGGCGGCGGCTGCGAGTTGCAGCGGGGCGTGGCCGGCGGAGTGGCCGCCAGCATGGAGGAGGAGGCGGACATGCACATCTGCAGTGGCTCCGTGGCCGTGTGCACGAGCAGTCCAATGTTGTGACCCTCCAGCTGTGGCACATGCGTGAACTTCGCCTCCAGTGGGGCGGGTGAGGGCGTTGAGGATCGGAGCTGCACTGCATTCAGGCCAAAGGGCGAGCTGCAGCGCTGTGCGGTCTCAATCAGTGGAGCAGGATACTTGCGCAAAGGCAATGGACTGGGCGAACGACTCAGCTGCCACTCCTTGGGCTCGGCCAGAGCAGCAGTTGCTGGTGTGGCTGTTGGTGTTGTCTCTTCTTCTTCTTGTTCGGCTGCAATTGGCGTGGTTACAATCTCCACCTCACTGCGCTGCCGTTGCAGCGGCTCCCTCGACTGCCCCTGGTCCTGCTGCTGCCCCTGCGGCTGCTGCTCCTGCTGCCCCTGCTGCTGCTGCTGTGTGTCTTCCCAGGAGATTTGGCGCGAGATGTAGGGACTGCGTATCTCATAGGTTGACTTGTAGTTGGCCAGCGACTCGTTCTGCAGATTGTCGAGGCGCCACTGGTCAGCCTTGTTGAGCTTGCCCCAGCCGTGCGGCGAGTCGCGACACTCGCCACACACAGCGCACCACTTGGCCTGCTGCTCCTGCTCGCTGGGCTCATGTGGACAACTGGGCGTGGCAGTGTGTTTAGCTTCCACTTGATCACTCGACTGTTGCTGCTGCTGCTCAATCTTTAACAGTTCCTGCTGCTCCATCTTTAGCTTCTCCTGCTGTTCCGTCTTTAACTTTTCCTTCTGCTGCTCCCTTAATAATTCCACCTGCTCCTTCAACTGCTTCTCCTGCTTCTGTAGCAGCTCCCTCAACTTTTCCCTTTGCTGCTCCTTGCGTATTTCCTTTAATATTTTCTCCTGCTGCAGCGCCTCCTCCTCCGCCTCCCTTATTGATTTTACTTCACTCTTAGTGTCTGCTTTCTTTGATTCATGCTGCTCCTGACATTTCACTGCTCTCCGCTCCCTGCCCGCCAGCTGCTCCTCTAGCTGTGGGGCATTTCTCTTATCGGGCTGCTGCTCCTGTCGATTCGCTGTGGCTGCTGACAGCTGTTCATAGTTGGCAATTACATCGGACACATGTCTGTAGTCTAGGTTAAAGTCAGAGTTCTGCTCCAGCTTCAGCTCCTGCTGCTCTGCCTCTGTCTCTGTCTCCGCCTCCGTTTCCTCCTCGATGACTACGTGCTGTGCCTTGTCAGCTTTTGGCGTCGTCTTATGCTCCACGTGCCCGTCGCTATCCAGTGCAATGGCAATGCGATGCAGATCCTCCAGAGCACGCTCCACTATCGGCACGTTCTCAGCGGGCACGGCTGGCTCCTGCTGAAGCACTGGGCTGTCCTGCTGCTCCTTGGGCTGCAGCTGAATGCCAGCTGCGCGGCAGTAAATTTGCCTTAATATGGCCTGCAAAGGACTCTCCACAGCCAGGATGGGAGATTGCCTCGATGCGAACAGGTCCCACAGCTCGTTGTGGTTGCTGTTGCTGGGGCTGCTGCTGAGTGGCTTGGGTGGTGCTAATGGTGGTGCTGCTGGTGGCTCTGCTGTTAGCTTAACCTGCGCTGTGCGCTGCAGCGCAGTCTTGGCGTTCTCCATGTAAGCATCGATCTGACGCAGATGCTCCGCTATGGACTGTTGGATGTGGGCATACTTCGCCTCGAGCTGGGCGATCTCCACATGCGCCTCGTGCTGCTTGACCTGGCTGGAGGCCAGTTGCGGATCTACTTGCTCATAGATGCCGCCCTGGCGACGCGCCTGCATATCCTTCGCCTCCTGCCGCGACCTGGCGCGCAGCTGCAGCAGCGGAGCCGCTGGTGGCGGCGGCAGAGGAGGCGGCGTGGGTATGCTGCTCGCCCGACTTAGCTGCGTCCTGCATCTGCCGGAGCTGTCCTGGCGCTGTAGCTTGATGCCACTGGTGGCGCTGACATAGGTGGCTGGCGGTGCAGCAGCATCGTCCGTCATTGCGTTGCGTGGATCCTGCGCACTCGCCTCCTGCTGGCCGGACCGAGGTGTCTCCGCGAGCACCGTGATCGGAATAATGCGCTCGCTCTGCGCTCGGCCATCGGGCGTAGCTGCGGCTAGGGCCAGCGCCATCTGCTGCTGCTGCTTAAGTGCCAGGCTGTCAATTGACGTGGATCCCTGTCTTGGCAAGCTCGCATTCTGTGTCTGGGTCATCAGCTTGGCTGCAGCGCTTGCAGCGGCAGCTGCTGCTGCCCTTTCGCTGGGCGTGGCGGGCAGCGGCAACGATTCCAAATCGATGTCAGCCGCAGTTGCTGCCGCTGCTGCTGCTGCTGCGAGCGTGACCTTGGGCTCCTCCTCGCTGTCGCCGTCGTTGCCGTGGTCTGTGTCGTAGCTGATCCTCAGCTCGGTGGCCAGCTTGATGCTGCGCCTCTGCACCTTGGGCGTGCCGTTGCCACTCCCATTGCGCGGCTTCGGGGGCGGCAGCTCCGTGGCAGCGCCCAAGGCCACGGCTCGCTTGCGGGCGCGTCCACGGTCCAGCGAATAGGATTGGCGCTTCAGACGCGGCCGGTAGCTGGGCGTGCTCACCTTGGCTGTGGGCGTGGCGGGTCGCTGCTGCGTCAGCTGCTCGTAGTACTCGCATTTGGGCGCAACCAGGCCCAGGTCCGCATCCGCCGCCTTCGTCTCGGGCGCGGAGAAGCCCCTGGCCTGTGGTGTGGCTGGCGAAGGGCTGGCTGACTCCTCTGGAGTCCTGCTGCTGCTGACATCTGCTCTGCTCTGCCTCGGTCTCTGCTGCTGTTGCTGCTGCTGCTGCTTCTGCTTCGGCTCCAGCTGTCGGCGCTGCTGGCGCAGCTCCCTCGCAGTTGGCTCCACGATTCTCGTGGGGCTGTTGAATTTCTCGCGCAGCACATCGATGCTGTGCGTGGGCGTGATGGAGGGCGTCACCGAGGGGCTGTGCAACGCCTCCTGCTCCGCGGGCGGCCAGCTGTGATCGCGCTTGGGCAGCTGGCGCCGCGTGGACAGACGATTAATGCGCAGCACCGTCTCTCGATCGATGACCACATCGTGCTGGTGGCTCAGATACTCGGACTTGATCTGGTCCAGCAGCTGCTGATGCGGTGCATGATGCGGCGGCAGCGTCTCCTGAATGCCACCTCGCTGCCTACTTCGACTTTGCCGTGGGCGAGCATAAAAGTCGCCTATGAAGCAATTTCGGCTTTAACTCAAATCAAATTGAATAAATTGAACACATAACGGAACACTTGACATTGCAGAGACGTAGTTGGTGGGCGTGGCAGTTTTTGTTGAATGTTGCTCAAGGTCTTTCATTGTTCTTTGTATAGACAAACATACATACAGACTCACACATACATATACACTCACACACACACACACACATATTTAGAGCACCTACCGCATTTGATTTGTTGATCCTCCTCCTCAACAGCGCGCAGAACAGCGGAGTTGGCCAGGTTTAGGGGCTTTGTGATTTGTTCATCGATTTCGATCCTAAAATTGAAAATATTTAATGAATATTGAGCAAAATGGCAAATTAAGCTATAAATAATATTTTCTAATTAAAACCCTAATTAAATTTCCTATAAACTTTGCTTATAATTCATCTACACAAAAATGTAAGCTAATCTAATACAAAATATTTTCTTATAAGCACAAATTCTTCATCTACACAAAATTCCAATTAGACTAAACGGGTTTTTTTGCTTATATGCAAACAGCTTTGTTTGATAAGCTTGAGAGATAAGCTAAATAATTCTATAAAATAAGTTAACAAACAAAATAAACAGCCGCCAGCTGGTACTTAGCGCCCATACTTGTTGGCTATAAGTAGCTCTCAGAATATATAAATAATTATATATACACAAAAATTTTATATGTAAAATATTTATGTCAATATCTATAATTAGAAATATTGCTGTCATAACAGTTGTGGTGCGACTGTTTACAGTTTGAGTATCACACACGCACTGCTTGTTGGCTCTGTGTTTGCACTGCTTTGCAAGCTGTGTACACAAATAACACATTTTCCCGCGCTGTGAACCGCTTAAGTGTATGATTAGTCGAATCATTTCAACAAGACCGTGTGGCCTAATGGATAAGGCGTCGGACTTCGGATCCGAAGATTGCAGGTTCGAGTCCTGTCACGGTCGAAGACAATTTAATTTTTTATTTTTTTTTTTCAATTAAATTTTTAATTTTTATGATGCAAAATTTGGATTATGTCATTATTAAGTGGAACTACTTCTATTTATATATATTTTGCTTGAAGTGGAACACATAAACAACTACTAAGCAGACGTCTGGCTTGCCCACCCATTCGGGGCCAGCAGCCCACATAAATCCTTTGTGGCCAATAAAAAGTAATCGAGATTGACAGGCGCGCGCCAACCGCCATGGATATAAAAGCCTTTGCCACTGCGAGCAACTTCATCACATCTCGTGCAGCATCTAAACAGGCACAACAATTTACACATTCGATCAAATTCAGGCATTGCAGAATGGCGAATGGCAAACAAACGCTGCTGCTGCTGCTGCTGCTACTGGCGGTGCTTTACAGCGTGGAGTCGCTGTCCAGCATTCAGGTGTGCGGCTCGCAGCTAAGCGAAACCATCTATGCCGTCTGCAAAGGAAAGTTTATGCCTATTCACCAGTACAAACGCGGCGCCTGTGAGTATATGTTGCAGCAGTGTGTGGCTGCTGCTGTTGCCACTGCTGATTGGCTTTGATTGGAGCACAGCCGTGCAGGCAATTTGCATTAACGCATCTCTGCATTGCAGTGGATCTCTTTGACTATGTCGAATCTCAAAAGGAGCTCAACGCCGATGACGCCGACTTCGATTCGCTTGGGGGACCGTCCCCGAGGGGACGCCACAGCACCCTGTTGGCCACCAGGCGGCTGTCGCGTGGCGTTGTCAACGAGTGTTGCCTAAAGCCCTGCACCACCAAGGTAATGGAAAAGTATTGCGCCTATTGAAAGCTTTAAGTTGAAATCTATGCCACATCATATTCAAATTATATTTTATGTAGTTCTATTAAAGCAAATTTATAAAAAACGAAAAAAAAAGTGGAATTCTTTGCGGCTATTGTAAATCTATATCTTATCTAACTGAATAAACAGACTTTTGTCTCTGATAAAGATAATTCACTGTTGCGTGAGTTTTGCATTACTTCAGAAAACATTTCAATTCAGTTTTGCATTATTCTGAAAACTTTTCATTTAGCTGTGCTTCACCGTAGCTGTTGGGCATCTACTATGAGTCACTCGCGCAACGGCAGCCAGATCACGAAAAGATGCATCACAGCTCTTGGCTAGGCGCCTGCAATGTGTTTGTTGACATTGTTGTTGCTGTTGCTGCTGCTGTTGCTGCTGCCGCTGCACGAGCTCCCCCATTAATTTCTGTGCGTGTGACTCATCGACTGTTAGTGAATTGTTTAACAATTATATAAAAAACGTTAACTAAGTATCTAACGGATGCCTGCCACACGATTAACATACATTGTGAAAGGCTGTTGTTGTTGCAGCTTGTTGTTGTTGCTATTGCTGTTGTTGCTGTTGCTGTTGGCAGCTTCAGCTTCAGATACAACTTTTGTGTGTTTGCACACGCGAACGCGTCTCAAAGTATCTGCTCGAGGCTGAAACTGTTTCAATTTTCACTTCAACTCAACTCAACTCAACTCAACTCAATTCAGCTCTGCTCAACTCAATTGTTTGGGATACTTTTCAGCTGTTGCACACACACGTTTTGTCGCACGCATAGACAACGTATAACTGAAAGGCTACTTAGAGCGTTTGGCGCTGTTTAGTTTAGGCCGGTTTATTTCAACAACAATTGCTAACAACAATGCCAGAGATAATGTTGTAGTTGTTGCCCAATTTGGCGGCGACAGCAGCAGCAGCAGCGAAGGCAGCGAAGGCAGCGGCAGCTACAAATTTCAAGTCCACAGCATCTTTGAGATACGCGCTGTTGCTGCTTTTATTATTGTTGCTGTTGTTGTTGTTGCTGCTGTTGCTACTTATGTATAGCATTTGGTAATTACAATTAAAAGTCAAGCGCTTTTAATTGTGCACTCTCTGTGTATGTGTGTGTGTGTGCGTGTGTGTGATACAAATTGAAAGCAACTGCAGCTACAAATCGCCAACAGTTGTCGCTGGCAGCGCTGCTACTGCTGCCGCTGCTGACGCTGCCGTCTCGCTGCAGTGCACAAAGTGCGCCTCGCAGCTGCGCTATATCAGCCACTATATATGTATATATGTAGGTATATATTAATGTGATACATATATGTATATGATGTATGTGCTCGCATATAGCCTCTGCATTAATGTGCTTTCATGTGCACCTGTGCAGCAGCCTTAGACAGTGGATATAATAGCCACAGAGGCTGCCTCGTGATGGCAGCTAACTAAGGTTGACTTGGGCAAACCCTAAACCCTTTTACTAGTTTAGCTGTTGTTGCTGTTGTTGCTGCTGCTGCTGCTGCTGCTGCTGCTGCTATGGCTTTTACTCTTTTCCATTTTCACTCTTTTCTGTTTTAAGGATGGGGCTTTCTTTCATCTTTCAGCCCCGCCCTTGCGTTCTATGAAATTATGCATTTAAATGCGTTAAGGGGAATTATTTCGTTTAACTTACCCGTCGGCCCCGAAGGCCTTCAGTTCGCGATTCAGTGTGGCCTTTACGTTCTCCGGGGAGTAGAGGCCCATTGGTGAATTGAATTGCTTGTGCACAAGTTTGCGTTGAATGGCGGCCATTTTGTACGTGTTGTTGTTGTGGCTGTTATGCGTGCTGTTGTTGGTGCTGTTACTGCTGCTGCTGCTGCTGTTATACTCTGTTTGCCTTGTCTTCACTTGAGCTGCGCTTCTTCAGCTTGTTTATTCACTTGGTAGCTTTTGCTTTCAGCTCTTCTGCCTCTTCTTCTTCTTCGTCAACTTCCAGCTGCTTGTTTGTGTCCGGGTTGTCTCCGAAAAACTTTTAAATTATTGTTGATAAAAAATATTTTAAAATTTTCACTTCAGCCCGAGACGTGGGCAGCTGCTAATCGGCTTATTGTTCGTAGTTGTTGTTATTGTTGTTATTGTTGTTGGTTATATTGTTTCTATTGTTGCGATTCTAAACAATTAGCCCCAGCTTGTATTATGCATATACATATGTATTTATGTATGTGGCTAATCAGTAGCTTAATTTAAATATCGTTAATCGTGTGGTTCGTTGTTTCGTTCTGTAATTAAAATGTCAAATGCAAAAGATTCGTTAGTTCAATAAATTGGTAATATTTTATGCCAATCCAATATACATATGTATCCCTGATAAATAGCTTATTATTTATGGTTCTGACACACATGATTTCATATGTATGTATGTATGTATCTCTGCATACATATATGCATGAATGTTATGCGCCTACAGACTCATTTCCGGCTCATCAAGTTCCGTTTTTACAGCTTTAAATATTCATATTCATGTCATCTGCCACGAATGAGTCCCCGTTGACAACTTAATCCGCCTGCCCGCCCGCATATTACGCATATTACTTGTTCAAGCAACATTTATCGTATTCGCAAGGTCCCTCAAGAACTCTCTTCATATGCTGCATGCGATTTCACATGCATGCAAATCTTATAAGCCTTTTAATTGTTATTGCTGTTTGCACAGATTTTATTTATGATTCATTTTTAATTGAAGTCTCGCCCTCGACTCTCACAATCTCTTTGAAGTTGTTTTTATATATGTTTTATGTCTGGGCATAAAAAAAGAGCATTTATATTTTTTATTTGCTTTAAAGTTAAACTCATTTTGGATATAGAAATCATTAATGGATATAGAATATATGTGAATAAATACATAAATTATGTAAATATATATTGTTATTTGTAGACTGCTATAAAAACTTTCATGTCTCTTCTGTTTCTGTGCTTTAACAGTGACACATATCTGCTGTCCAGCCAGCTGCACTGCTTACATTACTCTCACTGTTAACATAAGATCTCGTTCTGTTGTAACCCTTTGATCTGCAGCAGCTGCATTAATTACATTCTGCTGCACTGTTAAGTGCAAAACTAACTTATATAAATTTTGCACTTAACACCTGAATACGAATTCATTCAAGAAAAATATTTTGTTTAAAGTAAAATTGAAACATTCTTCTAAGAATATATATGTATATAAGCACATTCCAAATGGTTCCAATCTACAGCAACTGCTTCAATGTCAGTGCTCCACATAAAATATTTATATATAACACGCACACAGTCTCACTCTCTATATTTATAACAAAAAATTCCATTATGAAAGTATTTATATATAATTATGTTGCCACTGGAACACATTTTGCTATATCTTGCTAATATTGATATATGTATAAGATATAAATATATATATTTACATATAAATATATCTATATTCTGTCTGTTGCCTTTGCATTTTCGTTGTTTTTCTTCATTTATCGTTTCGTTTTGGCGACACAAATCTTTTGTAATTATAATTCTCATTATTTTTGGCTTGTTTTACAGCTGCTACAAACAAATTACAGAATATTATGAATATTCAACAGTCGTGTTTTCCAATTCTTATATGTATATACAGATATATGTAGAATATCTATTGAGGAAGAGGGATCTACTCACTACTGTCACATTTAAAAATGTAGCTTCAACTAATTTTTGGGTTGCTGAAATATTATTATTTTTATATGTTAAATTTTGTTCAGTTTTATTTTTTGTCGTTTATAAATAGATGCGACAACGTCTTAATATTGAAATATGCTCACTTTTTTGCTATGCTACAATAATATTTTTCACACGCATACAAACGCACCATAAAAATTCTCATTTTCTTAGTTCCAATTCTGCACTCTCTGTCGCTCTACTTTGCTCGCTCTCCCTAACTCTCTCTCTCTCTCTCTTCTTCGCATCTCTTTCACTCTTAGGCAAATTCCCGCCTTGTGTGTCACCTCAAATAAAATTAGCAACTTTGAGCAAATGGCATTATACAGATTTGCGTCATTTCTGCTGTCTGTCTTTGCCCGTCTCTCCAACTATTCATTTGTCCATCTGTCTGTGTGCTATGCGAATGTGTGAGTGTGTTGGTCAGCATGAGGAAATAGCAGTCTGTTAACAAACATAATTCCAATTCCAATTCTTGTTGTGCTCATTGCTGCACATCAAATTGTTGCAGCTCAAAGGAGAATACAGCAAAAAAAGACTTGCATGAAAGAGTGTTTGTATGTGTGTGTGTCTAGTTAGAGCAAATGACGCACGGGAGCGTGCTGAACGAGCAAACATCATGTGAAAGTGACATTTATTGGAATATCTAACATATTTGCTGTCTATGCTCTGGAATACAACATCTCGTTAAAGCATCTAACATATTTGCAGTATATGTATAACAAATGTGCTATTGACACAGTTCTGCTGTATAACAGATGTAGAACATTTGTGTAGTTAGTTCTTTAATCTAAATGCAGGATTGAGTGATAGTGTCTGTGTCTTTTAACAGTGATCTAAATGAATAGCTAACATTGTTTGCAGTGTACAGATCTTGTCTCTGTTATATGGTTTCTACTGTTATAGATATTGCCACTAACCAGTATAATATTCACATTGCAGACTCGCAGCAATTCCTCTTTCAATGTTAACTTAATGCCTCTTTCTGTTATATACAGATATTGGTGTTGATTTGTAAAAACTGCTAACTGCTTTACATTTTACATATGTAAATCTCTTGCAATTGTAAGTATAACATATGAACTGCTGCATTTCTGTCAATAACTCTTTCTGTTATACATATACATATGTACATATTCCAGTTGAATAAACAGCCAAGCGCATACGATTTATGTGCTTAATTTTGAGAACTGCTTGACCTGCAGTAACTACATTTACATTTCTGTCTCTCTCTCACTCTCTCTCTCTCTCATTCTCAGTGCAATTCATATTAACAACATTTAATTATTTTTCATATGTGTCTGTACATGAAATTGTATCTTTCAACATACTTGAAAGTAAAGCTATTTGACTTATAAGATGTAATAAATGTAGAAAAAAATTTTATTTTTCTTCTTCTACCTCACCTCATGCACTCATTGAATCTGGGGCAAAACAAAAAGTGGCATTAAAATTGCAATAAAATACTAAGCTAGAATGTTTCAAATTATGCGTGTGTACGTGTGTGTGTGTGTACTTGCTCGTTGATGTGCAATTTATGCGTTTTAATTGAGCTGAATCGCAGCTGTGGCCCGCAGCCATACGAAATGGCCAATGTAATGCATAACGGCATGCGTTCGCAGCGTGTGCGAGGGCGCCGAAAAGCATGCAACACTTTTGCGTGCCGCACACTTTGGGCCAACGGCTTCTCGAAATTAATCAGAATTTAATAAAATATTATGAAAATGGGAAACTGGAAAGCAGCGGCAGGTAGACGAGGAGCAGCAGCAGCAGCACTACAATGCAATGCATGCTGCCCACTTGATGTCCCAATTAAAGTTTTACACTTGCACACACACACGTATGCATACTCCCACACACATACTGGCTTGCATACACTCTCACAGGTGTACTTAGCATGGTATTAAAGTGCGCGTCTCGCATAAAAAATGCAGGCGCAAAATAATATTGTTTCAAACTAAAAAAAGTTTTGAGCTGTGTGGGTGCGCGAGTGTGCTTAAGCTTATGTGTGTGTGAATGAGTGTACGCGGGTGTGTGTGTGAGACTACTTTTTGCACCTCTCTGTGGCGGCACGGCGAGCGTGCTGTAAGAGCGCGCGCGTGTGCGGCTATGGAAACAATCTACGAGTATTGCATTGAAATCAGGTGCAAATATTGTTGCATTTGCATTGAAATTTGCAGATACATGCATGATGTATCTGTATCTGTATCTGTATCTGTATCTGTATCTGTATCTGTATCTGTATCTGTATCTGTATCTGTATCTGTATCTGTATCTGTATCTGTATCTGTATCTGTATCTGTATCTGTATCTGTATCTGTATCTGTATCTGTATCTGTATCTGTATCTGTATCTGTATCTGTATCTGTATCTGTATCTGTATCTGTATCTGTATCTGTATCTGTATCTGTATCTGTATCTGTATCTGTATCTGTATCTGATGAAAAAGAAAAACTGTATCTGTATCTGTATCTGTATCTGTATCTGTATCTGTATCTGTATCTGTATCTGTTTCTGTATCTGTATCTGTAAATGTAAATGTATCTGTATCTGTATCTGTATCTGTATCTGTATCTGTATCTGTATCTGTATCTGTATCTGTATCTGTATCTGTATCTGTATCTGTATCTGTATCTGTATCTGTATCTGTATCCGTATCTGTATCTGTATCTGCATATGTATCTATATCTGTAGCTTCAGCTCCACCCGTATCTGTATCTAGCTGTAGTTGTAGCTGCAGCAGTAGCAATCCGGTGCGCTTATTGCTTGGCCAAATGCTTGTCAGGCATTTGCAGAGCGCTGTTTGATTTAATTATTAGCCAGCAGCGTGTGTTTCGGTGTGTCTGTGTGAGTGTGTGTTCTGTATCTGTGTCTGCTGTCTTTGTTTGTTTTTAGTTGAAATGCTAAAATATTTCATGGCACATTTAATTTGTTTACAGTTTTCTTTTAACGCTGCCAGGCAACCCGAATTATAATTAACGTATATTAAGCAAATTGTTTATGGGAATGTGAATTTTCATGTTTGTGTTTCTATATGTGTTTGTGTTCTTGTGTGTGTGTGTGTGTATTCGTGTGTGTGTGTGTGTACTCACCGTCTGTCGCAATGTGGCGCTGGTTAATCCAAAAATCATGCCCACAAATTGCACAAAGAGTTCGCTGCGTGTCTGTGTGGCGGCACCTGGCGTTGCCTCTGCCCTTGCCACGCCCACTGCCACTGGTACGGGCACTGGCTTTAGCTTTGCCTCCGTCATTGGCAAGTGCATTTGCACGCTATTCGGGTATCAACTGGAGCGCCCGGAGACCACATAGACATATTCGGCTTTTGGCCCGTATACGGCCACGTTCATCCGCGGCCGTTACGGCCAACCGGCGTTTTGTAAGCGAACTGAACGGAACAACACGGCGCAGAGCTGAACACGTCGCCTGCGGTTGCGACGGCAGCAGCAGCACCACCAGCAGCACCACCAGCTGCGGCAGCAACTGCTGCGACGGGCGTTTGATGAAAAAGAAAAACTTTACGCAATGATCATGCGTTTCGCTTTTCGTGCTCACATTATTCTACAGTTTCACATCTTCTTGTGTGATTGTAGTTGTAGCCGTATCTGTATCTGTATCTGTATGTGTGTGTGGGTATTGGAACGAGACGCGGCACAGTAGCGTCCACGCATAAAGTGCACAGCTGATCAAATGCAATGCAGATCAAAGTAAAGACTAACTCCGACTACTTTTATATATTTAATTATATTTTTTAAAAATATTCAATAGTCACCCTTAATTATTTAACTATTTAGTGTCGAAATACTTTTGCTTTCAATTTAAATAAATAAGTAAAATTAATTTCCTCTATTTATAAATTTAATTTATATAAAATAAATTGATCCCTGTCTTGTCTACGTTTATATATTTTAGATAATTAAAATACAAAGCGCCTAATAAATTCATTTAATGACTTTTGGCTGGTTGTCAAGAAAACATTCGTTTGATTAATGTGCTGGGATGAAAGAGTCTGTGACACCTCAAAGATGACTCAATTGTCTAATTCTAATCAGATTAGCTGATGAGATGCAGATCTAGTTGACTAATAGCTGGTCTAGGCAACTTCTGAGGTAAGCTACTGTAAAAGTGCCACACACATACACAGATACAGATACAAATACATATAAACAAATATATTTTTGCCACGCTGTCTCCCTCTATCTCTCTCACTCTATATAAACAACAACAACAATAACAACACTCGAGACAACTCAAAGTAGTTTTGGGAATGAACAAGGCGAAGAGGAAAAAAAAAAGCACAAATGAAATATGAAAAGTAAAATATGTGTTTGAACAAAAAATGAAGCCAAAGCTGCGGAGGCGGAGGGGAGAAGGTGGTGGAGGAGGAGCAGGAAAATAGCAGCAGATTGTCAGTTCATCGATGGACCCGAGGCTACAAGATGCTGCAGTCAGCGACAGTCCAAAGCAGCAACAGCAAGAGCAACAGATACTTAGATACAAATGTATCTATAGCTCTGCCTGCGTGCAGCTAGTGTGCCAGAGTGCCTCTGTGTGTAAGTGTGTGTGTGTGTGTGTGTGGATGTGCCGTGGCCTCGTGGACTATTACAGAATATTTTTATTGCTGCGTCGCGCCAGCTCCACGCACAGCGAAAGCTAGAAACTCGGTCTCTAAAATTCTATTTTTGAGTTCAATTCTTGACAGCAACGAAATAAATACAACAAAAATTGAAATTTGTTTTGAAAACTTATGGTTTGTTATTGCGTTTCAGCGTAAATAGGAAAATGTCATTTAATTGTTTTTGCAGTTTGCTTTTCTTTTTTTTTTTGTATATTTTTTTGTTGCAGTTTTATTTTTTGTGTGATTTTTCAGATATATTTTTTTTAGAATTTTTGCTCGGTTGAGTTTTGCGGCAATTTGCATTCAATTGCTAATTGCGCTTTAAATGCTAATTAGCTGTGTTGCCCATTTTAATGACTATGTTTATTTGTGCACTTTTTATCATGAATTAGTTGTTTTTTATTTGGCGCTTTTCATTTGGATTTTGATTTTGGTTTTTCATTTTCATTTCGAGTTTCAGTTTCGTTTTAATTAAATTTGGATTGCACGCACGCGCATTTTTGCCATCGCCGTCATATCAGATGCAATTTTTTGGCTTGTTGGCGACGTCACAAGAACAATGCACAATGCACTCTCACTCACTGACACATAAACACACACACACACACACACACATATACTCATGCACACTCACACTCATACACACACCTGCAATTTGTACGCTGTGCACTGTCAGCGACTACACTGCGACTACAAATTCTGACAGCTTGTTGGTTGAGTTGACCACGTTCGCGATGCGAATTATAATTGTTACTCTCGCTGCTCGGTGTGCTGTTTTCACGGTTCGGTTTTTCATATACAACAACAGCAATAGCAACAGCAGCAACAACAACAACAAACATTCAACACTTAGCCACAAGTCGTTTCATCCAAAAAGTTCGCAAAAGCAGCGAAAAGTCGCTGCTGCTGCTGCTACGTTTGCCTTAGCTATAGCTCTTGTGGCTTTCATGGAAAATGGAAAATGTATGACACACACACACACACACTCACACACAGACATGCCCCCTTTACAGACACACACTCGCATATTTATTTAGTACCTATACCCAGAGCTCGCCCACACACACGCTTATAAATGTTGTCTGTCTGTTTTGGCTAATCGCGTATTTTGATACAGCCTCCAACTAAAGAGCCTGCACAAGGCAATAAATATTAGTCACACACACACGGACACTCTTGGCCAGCTAATTAACTACACTATAACGAACTGTTTATATACACACATATACATATATACATGTATATATAGACCCACCTATACAGCTGTTGTACCAAAATTTATATATTCAAATACTTTTCTTTTCAAAATATTCAATATTTATTTTTGGATTTTTGTAAGCCATTTCAATACGGACTCGAGCATACACTAACCGAGCGCCAAGTCATGCTGAATAAATCGTAAAGCTTGTTTAATTTCATTAAATTTTTGCTCTTCACAAGCTAATAAACAGCTTAACAGACAACAACATTCATATTCCCATTCAAATTCAAGTGGGATTCTTATTAGCCTACAAGCGCTTTTCCCCAATTGGAACGTATTAATTCAAGCATTTGCCTGATTCTGTATACGCCCCGTCTCACCCTCACTCTCAGTCTCTCTCTCTCTCTTTCTCTCTTTCTCTGTTATGCATAGCTTTGGCTTGTTATTTATCCATGGCCCATCTCTTCCTCTTCTAGCCCAATTTTATGGGCTAATATTTTTGGAATTCTTGAATTTTTATTCGCATTGGCTGCTGTTTTGGCTGCTGCTGCTGCTGTTGGTGTTGTTGCTGCTGTCCGTTAAGCAAATACAAGTTGTAATTGTTGTTGTTCCGGTCAAATGAAGCGCACAGCTGTTTTGCTTTTTTCGGAGGTTTATGGGATTTGATGCGAGGCGGTCAAGCGCAGCAATTAGTGCATTCGCAGTGCCTGATATGCCTGCTCGGCGCATACACCTGGCTGGCACTCAATGGTCTGCTCTGTCAGGTGATCAATCCCAGCGGCAGTGCAAAAAAAGCCATTCGCAGAGCACCTGACAGCCAACTAAGCTGCTTGAAATTTCATTTTAGTATTTCACGCTAGAAAGCCAAACGCAAAAAAAAATATATACAGCGGGAAAAAAACAACAACATTTATATATTTGTGTATATATATATATCTATATGCTTAATGTTTGTGAATGATTAATGGGACATTAGAATTGAAATTGTTTTGCTTGTGTGGCAGAAGCCGAATCCCAGGCAGGTGCAACACCAGCCGAGACTGTGGCTGGGGCGGGCGCTGCGGCAAGGGCAGCCTCTCTCTCTCTCTCTTTAGTTTGCCATAATGTACAAATATTTATATGCCTTTTTTTCTTTCTGTTTTCTCTGCACTCTTTTACCCGTTCCCGCTGCAAATGGATGCGGCCTTCTATGAGCAGCTGCTGGCTGGCAGCTACCTGCTGGCAGAGCCGCAGCCAAACAGGTGAGTGTTTATAATATGCATACCAAAGTGTAGCAGCTGAAATCTAGAGAAAATAGAAACAGCAACAACAGCAACACGGCTAACACATAAGCACATACTGGCCTAATGTGGCATAGAGTATAATATAGTATAGTATGTGCTTAATATCCATAATTATAGTTATTGTATTTGCATACCCTGCAAGTGAATGCTGAAAGGGGTATGATGAGCAGTCGATATAGCAAAGGCTCGGTTCGAGTACTCAAGTCTTCAAGAGCTGCATAATATTGTTGAGATACAAGTGAAGATGAGCAGTAGATTGTGGGGTTGCATATTTGCTAAAGTTAACATTGAAAGAGATAAGAAAATACAGAAAATTAGAAGAAAATCTTCAGTCCATATAAATTCCACAGTGAAAACCTTGAGATTTTTACTTGGAATTTCACTGACCTAGCTCTAAGTCTGAATTCATGAGAATCGCCTAGAAGGGCATAATATTATGTGTATATGTTTATATGTGAGAGAAAAATAAATGTGTAAACATGCTCTAAAGCTTCTCTACTTCCAATCATAGCATGACGGCAAACAGAGCTAACCAGAATTCATGAGAATCGCCAAGAAAGCCAGCTTGACACAATGCATACATATATGTATATGTATATATGAATTGGCAGCGCTGCAAAAAGTAAACTTTCGCCTGCTTTTGAAGCGTATATATACAGAACATTTGCTATACATACACACACATATATACATATGTATGTATTTGTATTTCATATTTTCATCAAGGGGCGACTTCAGCTCATATTGCTGTTTACACAAGTTTAATATACATTATAGGAATTTGCTTAAGTTCGGCGAGCGTTTGCTAAATACATGCTCAAGTCGAGGTGGAAGGGTGAATCGTAATGTGGTTATGTATGTGTGTGAGGGGAGGAGGAAACCTTAGAGAGCATATTCGAAAGGCCAAAACCAATCCAATCTCCAGCTGTTATTCGGCAATTCGTTTGGGGAGAACTTTGCCAAATTGCAGAAGCCACAAGACCGAAAAACAGTTTGTCAACTGAGGCGCTGCGGTATGCGAATTGTCAAGGGGCACCAATCTAAGATTGACTAAGAGTTTCTCAAATTTCTTAATAAACTTTAATGACTGCGGGTGTTGCAATGTCAGCTGCAGTTGTTGCATGCCTCCATTGTTGTTGCAATCGTTGCTGCAACTTTGATGAAACTGATAAACCGAAACGCCCGAAAGTATGCAACGGCGACGAGCAAGTTGTGTGGACAGCGAGCGCTATAAACCAGCACCACCCTGGTGCCTGGTGCCTGTTGGCTGGTTGGGTGGTTGGGTGGTTGCCTGGTTGTAGTACTAAAAGCAGGTTGAACATTTTTCGCCAATATCAAATGCGAGCGTAGATTTTCACCAATAATTTACTTGGCCAGCACGTAGCGAGTGTCACGCATGCAGCGGTTGGGCATTTGGAGGTGGAGCAGGAGGCGGCTGGCGGCGGAGGCTGTGTGGCATGCAACAGACTTGGGTTACCAGCTCATGCATTACTCATGATGTGGATGTCAGCAGCCTGCTGGCCGAATGACTGACCCACACTCCATCTCCTCCTCCTGCTCCTGCTGCTGCCCCCTTTGACTTGCCTTCAAATTGTCTTTGCTGTCTGCCACACTTGCCACACTTGCCGCACTTGCCGCACTTGCCGCATGGCAACTGTTTTAATATGGATGCTGCGGTTTTTGCCGTTTAATGGAGTTGCCCATAAAAAAAAAAAAAAACGAGACAGAGCGAGTTTATTTTAACTGCCGACTTCTTTGCGCAAATTAACACATTTATTTATGCCACAAATTTGTTGCTTAAATATTTATCGAAAATAAAGCCGAGCTAACATTAAAAATTTGCGTTTATTTCCATAAACATTTAATAGATATATATTAATAATAATAATAATAGTATTATAGTAATAATAGACGAATTGTATCACACACACATATGATATGGCTTTCAGACAGGCGCTCACAAATACACACAAACACACATGCACACACGCACACCAACATGCAGAAGCACACACTCACACTCACACTCAAACACACATACACAGACACTTACACATTACACTGACAGCATTGGTTAAGAGTTTTGAATAGCGCGTTTATTTCGTTTAGGAGGAGTGGCGCCTGCATCAAGCTTAAATTTATTTGATTTACTTTTATTTTCTTTTATTTTTGGGTTTCCCATTTGAACTGGCTAAACTCGTATATCGTTCATTTGTAAATTCGCTGGGTGGTTGCATGCCGTGCCAGGAGCAGCAGTGCGAGGGCCAAGCAGCCAGAGCAGAGTTCGGCCAGCGATGAGCCGCTCTGCAGCGGCAGCTGCTCCGACTCCAGGCACAGTCGGAACTCGTCGTAGTCCAGCCGCGTGATGGCGCAATAGTGATTGAGCATGCACAGGCCCAGGCAGGGCGAGCCGGACTGATATCGGACAGCATTGGCGCGATGATATCTAGAGCAGATGGAGCAGAGCATAAGACAGAGCTGAGCTGGGCAAACTGGAGGACTCTTTGATTACCTGCTGAACCAGGAGGCATCTCTGCCCGTGAAGCGCTCCGCGAAGTTGTGCAGCGCAATCGACGAGATCTCGGCCAGAGCATAGTAGTGCGTCAGGTTGTACTCGGGCTGCCAGAGCGGCTCGTGGGCGCGATTGGCCAGCGGCAGGTCGAGAAAGTACTGCGTGTAGTCCAGCACCTGGCCGCTGCCCGTGTCGAACTTGTAGAGCCGCAATGCTGGATTGTTGGAGCCACCGAGGCCCTCCTTGCGCGGCACCACCGACGGCGCTATCATCAGCCAGGAGATGGGCGTGCCTGCAAAAGCAGAGGTGCACATGGGTTACTGGCATTGGCCAAGTGCTGTCCGTCGAGAATTACCTTGATCGTCGTAGATCAGCCGGAAGGTGTCCGAGTGCAGATGCCCAAAGAACTGGCCCTGTATGACAGACGCATATCTGCGCACCAGCTCCAGATAGCGTTGATTGTTTCGCTCCGTAAAGATCAGCTGGCCATTGTGCTGCGGCCCCATGTTCCGCTCATCAACGCCCGGCGGCATGTGACCCACTATGTAGACCTAATGGGAATATATAGGGCATATACATATATACTAGAGTTCTTAAGCTAAATCAATTGGTAAAAACTTCAGTATCACTCCTTCTCCTGTCGCACTTCCTTCAGCATTATGCAGTTATATGCTATCTCTTTCTGACACTCTAATGTCCTATCTCCTTCCCACACCTTCGAGAATATTTCTGTAATTTAATATTGTCTGCCTACCGTCTCCTGTTTGTCCCTGGACTTGGCCAGCACCTCATCCAACCACAGCCACTGCTGCTCGGCCTGCAGTTGATCCTGCAGCTGATCCTGGATAGACATGGTGCGACTCGAAGCCTTCGGCTCCACGGCGTATTCGGCGGGCCAGCGCAAGCTGTGTGCCGGCTTAACCTCCGTCTCGTAGTCGTATCGCATGAAGTTCGTGTTGAGGGCGACGATGCGTAGGCGGCTTCTGGTCTGCTCGATGGAGTAGTAGCCGCCCAGCTCGAAGGTGACGAGCGCGTCGGTGGGTAGCCAGTGGCGCCAGAGCTCGCCCATTTGCTTGTACTTGTGCAGGCCGCTGCTGCCGTCCTCGTGGCCGAGCACTGGGAAGATGAAGGGCGAGGAGAAGCTGCGTCCCAGCAGCTCTGTGATGTTGCGCAAGGTTTCGAGCTGCTTCTGTTCGGAGAGGGCCTGGGCGGAGTGCGAGAGTGCATCGCCCGTCCACAGGACAAACTCCACGTTGTCGCCCTGCTTGGCCTTCATGGTCTTCACCGCCGACTCGACCAGGCTCCAGGGACTGTCGCAATTGTAGTGGCCGAAGGGGCCCGGCGACTCCGTTGCCGTCTCCTGCCGCCCGCCAGCGGGGGAGGCGGCCGTGTGCGGCAGTTGCCAGCAGCTCTTGTATATGTCGCCCTGCGTGGAGTAAAATGTGTCCAGATGCAGGTCGCTGATGTGCCAGAAGTAGCCTGCGAATGCAGAGTGGAGAAATTGAGAAACTCTGAGGATTAAAGGAGCAGCCCATTGGGCAAACCCTGGGCGGGAAATGCCGGTCGGCCGGCTGGCTGTAAAAACCCTTGCATACATATAGTTGGCCTGGCCGATCGACTGACCTGACAGCCCTGGTTCAGCTACCTGGCCGAGAGGTCAAGAAGTCACTTGATAGACAATGCGAGCCATTGAGTTGATCGGCGCCAGAGCCAGCAAATCAGTTAGCGTTGGCATGCGCACTGATCAATTTGTAAGCGAGAGCGTGAGTCGAGCTGAGAGTCAGGGAGACACAGGAACTAGGATACATAACCGCCCGGTTATAGAGAGAGAGCGAGTCCGGCGATTGGGATTTGTATGAGAGCAAGATGAGTTTGCGCTTCAATTTGGCGCTTCTGCTGATGCTGGCCCTGCTGACGCAGTTGGTCGACGGCAGGAGGAAGCTATGTGGCGATGCACTCAACGAGGCCCTTGACCTGATATGTGTTAATGGATTTTCACACAGAATCAAGCGCGATTGTAAGTACCAAAGCCATTCAATCAAATATCAATTCAGCTACTCAATGCCAGCTTTAAAGCGGACCGAAGCCGACTGCTGCTGGTACTGAGGCAACAACTGGACACCGGCGAGCAGCCCCAGGCCCCGGCGGAGCGGTTCAATGGGGCCGGCGTGGAGCGGGTGCTGAGACGTTCGCGGCGCAGAATAACGCACAAATGCTGCTGGGATGGATGCACCTACGACGACATTCGGGAGTACTGCGCCTAGCCCAAAGGAATCGACTTGATGATGACGATGGCAACACTGATGATGGCGACACTGACGATGGCAACACTGATGATGGCAACAATGATGATGACGATTTAACTGACAAAGCAAAACCAAAAATTTCACTCAACTACATTTAACCCCCTCTAAAACAAAACAAAAATATATTCTTAATTAAATTCGCAATGTTTTATTGTAATATTTCATGGAAGCAATAAAGTTACTCGATAGCAATAGCAACAAACAAAAGGCATCTTTTGGCCCAAAGACTACCTCCAGCCAGGCATTGGACCACACGCTGCGCGGCAACAGCTCCCTCCCCCATCCCCAACGAGCCCAGTCCACAGAAATTTCCACGTCAATGGGAATGATGCTATGCCCTTGCATTCTCGGAACAATAATGAAAATTTTGAATTTTTAATTAGATGACGTTGTTATTTTAATAGAACAACAAGTAGCAAATGGGGTTACGACGACCCCTCTATACTCTAAAATTGCTAAATTGAAGACATTCCGACAGAAAATAAACGAATTTGTATGTGCTAAATATAGAAACACAGAGATAACAGCGCGAGTGGCGCTCATTAACATAGCAGACTGCCTTAACAGACAACTGTTAGCTGCAGCACTGTCTTCTGTTAGCTGCAGCTGTTTGATATGTTATAATGGCTGTTCACTTAACAGCGCGCTGTTAAGCCTTTGAATGGGGCAAATATCGAAAGATGCCAATTTGTTTATGTTTGTTAGCTGTATTAGTAGTCCGTAGTGGCCTTAATTTGAGACAAACTTTAGGACCCACTGTTAGAGCATGGGTAAACAACATTATGCGTCATGTGAGTGGAGACAGGGCGTGGCAGGGCAGGCAACACTTCACTTTGTTTTTCAGCAAAATGCGATCTATCTACGCGTAATTATTTTGCACGGCACAACATAAACAAAGACGTCAGCTGATATGAGTGAAAGCATCCCACATAAGGCTACGAGGCTAGTCCCCCCCCCTCAGCGGAACTGACACTTGACCTAACACTGCCTGACAGTGCGAGCTGGGTGGCTGCAGTGGCTCCGCTTAACATATAAAATGCTGCTGTGCCGCCAGCCAGCTACCAGTTCTAGTTGGTTTATATGCGTGGCAGATACGAGCTACTGGAACAGAACAGAAACCCACTAAACACCATGAACTTCCAGTGCTCCAAAATGCAGTGCCTGCTCTGCGGCCTGATGCTCCTCGTGCTGCACGTGGAGGCGATAATGCTGTGCGGCCCCAAACTGGACGAGTTTCTAATCCAAATGTGTAAAAACGGCTTCAACAGCAAGATGAAGCGCGGCTACGGTGAGTAGGCTCTCCCCACATGAACTTCATTCAGTTTATATGGATGCTCTGCAGTCGGACCCAATGCCATTGATGCTGTGAATAGTGACTTGGATTTGGACAACTATGGCGTCTACCCGCATATGAATCTGGACTCGCAGCCTCTGATGCGCGCTCTGATAAGCGAGAGTGCCCACCAATTGCAGATCCGTCGACGTCGATACGGCATCCATGACGAGTGCTGCATGAAGTCCTGCACCTTCAACGAGCTCCTCTCCTACTGCAAGTAACCGACCCAAAACGAAGAAGATGAAGAAGAAGACGATGGAATAATTTTACTCCTGCGAACTTGATATGGACAAGGCACTGCATTCCACTGTGGCTTAGACTAAGACCAACTCCTGTTTGTCAGCTTCTAAATGTTTAAATATATAACTACTAAACGAACTCTAGCTCTATGCGAATATTGTTTCACACATGTAGAGGATATGCTTGTACAATTTATTGCTAAAGGACATATGGCAAATTTAATAATATAAATTTATGCTTCACAATTGAAGAGGGAAACTGTTTGTAATCCAGGCTAGAGTAAATCAACTTGTCGATAGCCCAAGTGGAATTAATTACCCATAAATTATTTTATCGTGAATCGACATAATTTGAATAGATTTGAATTCTCCAAAGTTGCTAAATGAATTGTTCAGGCCTGAAAATAAAGTTATTTATGTTTGAATGCGAATATTTGCTTAGTTGGAATTCTAGAATATGCAAGCATATTATTTGCTTTCACATTGAGGTTAGTTCAGCTGCATTTTTCAAATGAATTTCGTACTCAATGCAAATTCATGGCAAATGCAATTAGAGCCTTGCCTTAGTTTAGCAAATGAAATATCCTTTTTGTTCACTTTAATATCTTTAAGTTCAAAAGTCGACTAGAAATGCTTGAAGAAAGTTTAACTAGTCCAACTCTGAATCACTACACTCTTCTTCTTTTTCTTCTTCTATTAATACTCTCTCTCTCTCTCTAAATACGAAAAACTTCGTTTATCGAATTTTATTTATGCAGTTGGCTTTTATTTTGAAGCGTCTATAATATTAATACAATATGTGGCGGGCACAAGGTAGGGTAGAGTTTCAAGGTACTGTGATCGCGGTGTTTTTGTGTGGGTGGTAGAGCCTGGCTAGCCTAGCAATCTAGACGGCGCAGTAGGCGTTCAGCTCGGAGAGCTTACACGACCTTCTGCAGCACTCGTCGACGATGCCCTCCCGGGTGCGGCGCCTGGTGGAGGTCAGGGAGTTGAGCACGTTGTCCTGGTAGATGTTGCGCAGTCGGCCATTGGTCATGGGATACGAGAGCAGCTCGGCGGAGTTGGAGGGCAGCTCCTTCTCCTCGGTGAACTGAATGGGATCGAGTGGGTCCAGGTCCATGAAAGCTAATGAAAGCCGCGCCATCAAATGGGAACAGTTAATGCCGGCACACAGATGTTGCCCAATCTAGATACTCACGCATGCTACGCTTCTGGATGATGCGATTGAAGCCCCTGGTGCACATCCTGCTCAGCATGTCGTTCAGCCGCACGCTGCACAGTCGCATCTCGTGGTCGGCGCTAACGGCCGCCAGGATGCACAGCACACAGAGGAGGGCCAGAGACAGCGAGGAAATTGACTTGCACATTGTACTGGGATTAGGCTATGCTATGGAACTGATGCTGCTACACTCGCGCTCGCACGCTTATATACCGTAAGCCTCGACACTGTCTGTGATAAGCAGGTGTGGGCGCTGCCCAACTACGTGGATGTCAAATTGTGTTAAAGGTTATTGGGACAAGTTGAGTGCATTTTCGAGTAGCTACTTGCTAAATTCGTTCAATGTCAGCGTTCACTTTTCGTTGGCTTATGCAAATGGCGCCGCTGTCTGGGCGTGGGCGGATGGAGTGAGTGGGCGGTGCTGTGGTGGTGCTTACGTCTTTGTCAGCCAATTAAACAATTTGGGTGCCAAAGGACAACATAAGGTCCTGGCGTATGCGTGCAAAGGCTTGCCTTGCCTGCATTTATGAATATTAAATGAGTTAGTCGGAATACCCTGTAGCCAGCGCTAATTACAAGCGGGCATACACTGTGGCTGCTGCTGCTGGCATACAAAGTGATGCCAGCTTTACGGCACTGCTGCTCTGAGCTCTTAACTAGCTAATACAAATTTGTCTCGCCCATAACACTCCATTGCGATTAACCTTTGCCCACCCCCGCCCCCTTCTGACCATTTTCCGGGAAGAGTTCTCTGCTTGAAACGAGTCTCAATGTTGCGCCACATTCGAGCTACCCATAATCACAAAATTTAATGATGGTTCCTCTGGGGAAACATTTCAAACAGAAAAACAAATGAATAGCAAAAAATTTACTTCCTCCTAAAGCAGATTTCCCCTTTGCATTGAATCTTATATGCGTATGCGAACAGTAAAGTAGTCCCGCTCTGGGTTAAAACTTGAAGCGAGTGCTAGAGCTGGCAATACAAATTCATAGCATACTTTTTGAATGTTGCCGAACATTGCGTAGGTGGAAAGTAGAAGAGCCAATTGCTATCCGAGTGAAGAACGACGAGTTAAGAGGAGAGAAATCGAAGGAATGACGAGCAAAGAAGAGAGACTGCAAAGGTATTTACATAATAGAATAACAATAGAGTTTAGAGTGCTGCAAATGCAAAAGTTTATCTATATATTTTGTTTTGTTAGAGACAGACATAGAGGAGCTGCATTTTTAACAGATTTTTATATATATAGTAACTTGATTTTTGGGCAAATATTCTAGAGTCTAGAGACCCAATCGAGTCTGATATATATACTGCCTGGAATTCAAATATGTCCCAGCTTAAACTTATTGTCTCTCATGGCAAACGCTTAGAGATAGTGTTGCACTGAGACGAGAGACAGGCAGACAATGACATATCGACTCTGTGCGTTGATGGTAAACATGTTGCCCTTTGTGAATGACTCTACTTTTTTACATCGTAGCACAAACACAGTAATACCCTCATACTTATACTACCTAGAGGGTATGTAGGAGAGAGCAGAGCATTATATGGGGCTTTACCTTTAAGTAGATTTCATATCACAACAATAAATGAAGCCTCTCTCCATACCAGGCCAAGGCCAATCTTTGACTGGCATGCATTACACACTAAAATATTACATTTACAGGGTATGTAGGTAGTCAGAGCAGTTGACTTGCTTTCGCCTTCGCCCTATTCTTACTTACCAATGCGGGCGCTGGCCTCATCTGGCAGCCAGAGCAGTGGCAGGAGCGTGGTTAGCAGCCAGCCCAAGCTGAAGCTGGAGCTCGAGCTGGAGCTGGAGCTGGAGCTGGAGCTGTAGCTGAATATGAAGTTAGTCATTTAGCTGCCGTTGCTATTCGACTGTGGGACGTGTGTGGGGACGGTAGGCGTGTGGGGCAGGTAATGGAGCAGGAAGCGGCTGTGTATGTGGGTGTGGAGCAGGAAGTGGAACTGGAAGTGGAAGTGTTTGCTGCGTTGAAATGGAAATTTCTTGCTAACTTTTGCTTTAGCTTTCTGCTGAGCCGTGAAACTTTTCTGCACAGTTTTACTTTTATTCATTAGCTAAATTTGGTGCTGCATAAATAAGTGATTACGATTATGATTACGATAACGAATACGATTATGATTGCGATTAACAAATAGTATATATGTGTGTATGTATGTGAGCATATGCGTATCTGTATGTGCGTGCGCCTCTGTCCGTCTATGTCCTCGACTAGCGACAATAGGCCAAGAGCTCGGACCGAGTGCAGGAGTTGCGACAGCACTCGTCATAGATGCCGCCGCCCTGTCGCCGCAGCCGTCGCGTCTTGATCAACACCTCCGCCCCATAGAGGCTGGACAGGAGGGGGCTCAGCGCAAAGCCCTGGTGTGACGGCTCCAGTCTGAGATCGCGCTCCATTGGTATCGTGTTGTAGCCATTCACACAGACCATGTCCATGGCCTCGTTCAGGGCGGGGCCGCACAGCTTGTGCTTGCCCTCGCGCAGCAGCTGCGCTATGTTGCTGCCGCTGCAGCAGCAGCTGCCCAGAGCGATCAGCAGCAGCAGCAGCAGGCAGAGACGCTGACGTCGGCCTGTGGCAGTTGCATGAGGTGCGTACAACATTATTGCGGACGGCTGTTTGTGAGCGTTTGCCTAAATGCTGCCAGCAGCAGGCGCTATTTATACAAGCCTGCCGCATGCAACAGCAACAGCAGCAGCAACAGCAGCAGCAGCAGCAGCAGGTTCAATGCACTTTTTGGTTGCACAAATATTTGGCAAAGGAGCAAGGAGTGAGCAGTGCGTAAAGCCGAGTCACAGCTAAAGGCAAGCTAAGGCAAACAACAACAGCTCACACCAGTCAGCCAAAGAGAGAGAGTGAGAGTGAGAGGGGGAGAGCTAGAGGTAGGCAAAGATGTTAACGCTAAAAGGCTGCGACTGCTGCTGTCCCCAAGGATTACGTATGCTGCCAATGAGGCAGGCGACAGCCCATGTGGCAGCTTCATTAGCATGCCAAGGGGGGCCGTATGTGTGTGCGTGTGTGTGAGTTGCCTTTGCCAGGTGAAAAGTATGCTTCAGTTGGCTGCTCGAACCGCTGAGAGCGATTGCCAATCGATAGTTGGCACTGCGCTCAGCTCCGCCCGATTGTGGCGCCAATCGGTGGCAACAGTTGGTCGCCAACGTCACAGAGCAAACGGTCGCACTTGCAGTCGGTGTGGTGGAGTTCCCATTGTGTTATTCAAGCGATTCAGCAGCGAGCAGAGTTCAGGAGTCCGCAATATGGTGATCGATATCAAAATGTGCCGCTTTGACAATGTGCCCTGGGGCTTTCGGCTGGTGGGCGGGGCCGACTACGACTATCCGCTGACTGTGGTTAAGGTTAGGCACGCTCATAATAATAATAATAATCACGGCCGATGATCATTAACGTGTGCCACCTGTGCTACCTGTGCCACCGCCGTTGCCACTGCGGCTGCCGCTGCCGCTGCCGCTGCCACGGCCAAAAGTGACCGCAACAAAGGCCAACAGCTTCGCATGCTGCTGTGCATTACAGTTATTGTTGCATTAACTTTTACTCTGTGAATTTGCCGCAAATTAATTGCAAATATTTCAATGTTCGAGCCAATTATGTAACTCTCTGTGCGTGCGTGTGTGTGACTGTGCGTGCGAGTGTGTGTGTTTATTTATTTGAATTTGCATTTGCATTCGCATTTGCATGCTCATTCGTTCGAGGGCTTATTTGCAAAATTTTGTTAATTAAAGTAAACTCAATGCAGACTGCCAATGGCTCTCTATCCGTCCGTTCGTCAGTCCGTCCGTCCGTTCGTCTGTCCGTTCGTCTCTCTGTTTACCTAATCGGCTGGCCGAAATGCATTTTTGTGCTAATGAGCCGCATAATGCGAATGCAATAAATTAAATTCAAATTTTCAAATGCGCCTGCGATTCATCATCAGCAGACGACGAATTAGCAATTGTGTTGAAAGACAACAACAACAACAACGACAACGACAATAGAAACAACAACAATAGCTAAAGCTATAGCAATATTCGCTTATTTGCAAAAATAGCAACAATTAAATTTTTTTTAATTGCCAAACTGCAACAGACATATATATAGATTAATGCTAGCGAGGGCAGCTTGATCGGTTGAGTTATAATATTTAAATGTTTAAATTATAAAAAAAAAAAAAAATATATATATATATATATATAAATATGTTTCCCTTGAACCAAATGTCTTAAATGAAAAAAAAAAAAAAATAAATAAATAATAATAATATTAATAAATAAAAAATAATAATAATATTTTTTTTATAAAGCTAGATATGTTAAATTACTAAAATATATAATATCTTTCCCGTAAAGTTAATATTCAATTTTTTAGACATTGTATTAAATGATGACAAATATATAATATGTTTCCTCTAGAACCAATCCATTTGTACTATTCATTCTACATTCAGTAACTTGATAATATGCCGCAATTTAACGTCTTTAAACTGCATTTTATTTTTTTTATTTTTATTTATTTTTTTTAATTCAAAAGATAAACAAGTCTTTAGGCTAAACATTTAACTTAAGTTCAAGCTGTTCGTCTTGCAGCTAAAACTTATGTAGCTACCTATATTTAAGCAAAACATTTTGCTTAACTGCAACAGAATTTTTGAGCAAACAAAGAGCAAACGAGAAAAAGTTGGCTCAGCTTTGGTTAGTTTTATTTTTTTTATTTTTTTTTTATTTTTATTTTTAATTGAAAAAATTATGCATATGTAAATATATAAATACTTCTTTGTATTTATATATTGACATATGCAAGTATTTATTATAAACAAAAGCCAAACTCACATAGTCTAAAGCATAATCCTAGACAAATATAGATTTATAAACATATCTGTATAATATATCCCACAATTTTATTACCTCCATCTACTTAGCTCTTTAATACTGCTTCTAATTTCATATTCTACTCTGATTTTGCTGTCATAAAACGCATTTTCCAACACTGAAATAACTACATAGCTGCCATAAACAATATGGTGCCTTTCCCTCCTTCTTGGCTTCTTGTTGGTTTCTTAAAGATTGTCAATCTAAAGAAACTTTCAGCCACATTAAACGGATATGAAAAAAGGAAAACAAAAACTTGCTTGGCGCTCTCTTAATTTATAAAGCAGCCCTCCGTGCGGCATGCCACATCGAGTGGCGTATTGTCTTGGCAGCTGCCACGCCCGCGGCCGCTGCCACTGCCGCCCCTCGGAATCGCTTCATCTGATCTGTGTTTTTGTTGACATTTCGCGCGCATTTTATTTATATGCACTTTGCGAGCGACGCCAGATAATTGATTTTGTAACTAAAATTCTTTGTCGCATCTCTCTGTCTCTCTCCCTCTCTCCCTCTCTCCCCTTCTTTCCCTCGCTGGGTGACAGGTCACGGAGGGCAGCATTGCCGAGGAGGCGGGCCTGCGCGTCGAGGATGTGATTGTGCGTATCAATGATACGGCTGCCACGCCCCTCACGCACGACGAGGCCCATCGCCTAATCATGAGCAGCGGAAGCGTGTTTTATTTCGGCGTGCATCGGTAAGTCGAACCATTTGTTCCGTTACAGCCATTTGTCATAGGCCTAGCCCCCATAGCGAACGTGAGGAGGAGGAGGTCTATGCGGGTCCGAAGCGCTTCCCAGTGAGCGCCAGTTCGTTGACCATGTCGCCAACCGCAGCCGCATCCGCAACCACCTCGCCTTTGCCGTCGCTAACGGAAGCCACAAAAGCGTTCACGCCGGAACAGGAACAGGTCGAGGTTGCGCAACTGGAGGCGAATGTGGAGCTGGAATGTCGCAGCGCTGTGACGGAAATGCATTCGCATGCCAGCCAGGACAGCCAGAACAACCAGGCGGAGCAGCAGAACCAGACGGAGGCATCGGCCAGCGTCGACCAGCAGGCAACGAATGGTGGCCTTTATTTGCCCGATTTGCCCGATCGGCCGTGCTCGGCGATGTCAGAGCAGGCGGAAATTAAGCTGGTGGAGGAGGAAATTGCTGCAGTGCTGTCCGGCGAGTCGGAGGTGCTCAAGGAGCACAATGTGCTGGGGTGCGTTGACAGACAGGCAGACATGGATGCTCTTGCGAGCCTTAACCTGTTTCTATCTCATAGCGTTAATTTCTACAGAATCTTTCCCAAGCCGGGCGTCTGCATGACCAGCGACGTGCTGCGCTCCCTCAACGAGGAGGTGACCAAGACCAAGCTAGAGAAGGAGAAGGAGAATCGCAAGTGGTCCACGTTCCTGCAGCGACCGGACCGACCCGTGCCCAAGAGCAAGCAGCAGCTGGAGGCGGAGCGCCGGGCGGCCAATGCCTACAAGGTGAAGATTGTGAAGTCGGCGCCACGCGACAAGTCGCCCATGGTGAGTAGCGTTCCATGCAAAGCACATAGCAAAGAGACACTGAACAGGCCGCAACTTAAGCCTGTGACAGCCGGAAGCCAAGCCAGCCCCAAAGGAAGCCACCCCACCACAACAGGAGCCGGAGCCGGAGCCGGTGGCAGAGCAGGAGCAGGAGCAGGTTGACCCCGTGGATGAGGAGCCATTGCCCACGGACAGCGAAGTCCCGAATTTGGAACAATTGCCAGACAATGGCAACAACGCGACGCCCGAGGAGACGGATGGCGAGCAGTTAGAGAAAACGGATGCGTCCAAAGAGGAGCCCGGACAGCAGACGGCCGACGAGCAACAAACAGCAATTGAGCCTAACGAAGGGGAGGGTCAACAGGCCGTGTCAGAGGGTGAGGCCGAGGGCAGCGGCGAGGGCAGCGGTGAGGCAACTCCGGCCAAAACCGATGAGGAGCTGGCACTGGAAAAACAACTGGCCGATGTGCAAAAACAGCTCGCAGCGCTGTCCTCGCTGCCGTCCACCATACAATCGACCCTGGATGCGGTGACCAAGCAGCTGGCCGAGCTGCTGCCCACATTCAAGCTGCAGCAGCAGCAGCAGCGGGACGAGGAGCAGCCACATGGCCAGCACGAAGGTACTGGCTGGAAAGTTATGGCCGAGGTTACAGTAATTAAATTTTTCTAATGGCACATTTTGCATACTTCCCCAACTACGCGCACACACACACACACACACACACAGGCATGTCGAGCTGTGCGGCCGACAAGGAGCAGCAGCAGCAGCAGGAGGAAGAGGAGCAGCAAGAGCAAAAGCAGGTGCAGCCGGAAGAGACAGCACCTGAAAATAATGAGGATAAATGCGATGCCAATGACCGAGAAGTGGCAGAAATTTCGCTCTCGAATGGCGACAATCGCCAACTAGTGGAGCAGGAGGAGCAGCAGCAGCAGCTCAACGAGGAGCTCAGCTTCAAGAAGCAAAAGGTGAGCGCGAAAACTAAAGTAAAGACTGAAGCATATAGTATATGTAGGGTATATATAATAAGTATATAGAGAGCAGTGTATATATACTTTAATGTAATACATAACATATGAAACTATCCGTCCGTCCGTTCGTTCTGCTGGCTCCTCCATAGACACCTTTTCATATAGCTGCAAACTATGCCAACAGCTTTCCATTATAAATCGAATTAAACGCTTGGGATTTCAGGCCGATTCGATGTTCCTGCATAACTCAATCTAGAGCTTAGAAAATTTTCAAAGTTTTCCAACAAATGCCGCTAAGACTTTGTTTGGCCTTGAGTTGGTCTTAAATTGTTTTCCTTTTCGGTCTGTTTTTGTTAGCCTCATCTTTGTTTCATCTAGTTGCTGGCCAGCTGTGCCTCATCCTTTTGCTTCTTCTTACTTGTTGTCACTGGACTTTTTCCTGGCCATTTCGCGCGCCCAACTCCACAAATCAAATTAACTAAAATGCCTTTTGGTTTTTGTCTTTTTCTACTTGCAGCATAATGTGCGCTTCCAAGTGTAGTTAGCTTAGTTAGCTTAAATCGAGTTTAAATTTTGATAAATTGCCACCGCATACACACTCACATATATATGTATAGAGTATATAGTATATATGTAGTGTATGTAGACATATCAACTGCCAGTTAAATAAATGAGTTCCATGAGCAAATCGAATCAGAGTCTGAGTCGCAGCGCCGGGGCAGAAAAAGGCAGAAACCAAAGACAATTAGTAGGCAGCGTGACAGCCAAACAAACAAAAAAAAAAAAAAGAAGTGAAATGAAAAGAAAAGAAAGAAAGGAATGAAAAACCATGAAGAAAAACCAACGCATATAACCCGAAACGACTGCAAATTTGCACTACCTCAACTCCCCTCTCTCTCTTTCACTTACTCTCACTCTCTCTCTCTCTCTTTCTCTCTCCTACTCTATAAATGAAAATCTCTTAACATCTTCTTTGTATTCCTTTGGGCTGCTGCGTTGCGTTGCCTCGCCTGGCGCGCGCTCTCTCTCTCTCTCTCCCTCTCTCTCTCTACGTGCGTGCGTGTGTGTGTGTGTGTGGGGCATGTTTTTTGGGATGTGATGTGACATGCCAGAAACACAATGTCATTGAGGAGCTGGAGGAGCATTTGGTGCGCAAAAACAATCCCAGACGTTCGAAGCGCGCCTTTGGTCCCCTAACGCCATCATCGGAGCGTCCTCTGGTGCTGCCCGGCGGCAGGCGCTGGTATCGACCCAAGGATGCCTACAATGATGAATTCATTGCCGAAACTCTTAGCGCCCAGGCGGAGCTTATCACTGGCAGCACACTGGGGTGGGTACTCCGGCAGAAACTCTACAATTTTTGTACCTTGTGCTGTTCGCATTCCCAACTCTCTCACGCTCATTCTCAATCTCTGATCAGCATCCGCATCCATCCGCACTGCAATTCACATTGCTTAATGCCGTATTGTGCCTCGGCTGGCATTGGCTTGGCCTTATTGCCATCATAATGCCATATTGCCATGGCCACCGCACTGGCTCAACCCCTTCCCCATTCCACGCCCCACCGCATCGACTCATCTGGCATATACTCTCACTCTCATCTCATATCTCGTCTCTCATCTCTCGTCTCTCATTTTCCATGGCTCGCTTACATCAACGCACAATCGTCCGGCTTCATAATTTTGCGCATTAGCAGCTGCTGCCCCTACGAGAGCCCGTTGCTCGGCTACGATGCCAGGTATTAGTTTGCTAGAGCATGGTGAGCTGGTGACAGCAATTCTATTCTGCATCGCCCCCCTCCCTCTCCCCCTCGGCAACCCATCCCTCCCTCACATTACACAGCCCGCATCCATCAGCTAGCACAAAAGGATGCACTTTCATTAACATTATCATATTGAACGATTGTCTGTTGCCATCTCTCTCGCACTCGCTGTCGCTGTCTCTCTCTCACTCACTCTGTTTAATTTCTGTGTGTGCTTGCCTTAGCTTGTAGTTGATTTGACTTTTCCAGTTTCAGTTGCAGTTCCTCTGGCATTCCAGTTCTTCTGCTACTTTTGCATCTCTTTTGCTGTGCTTTGGCTTTAGTCCTTATATGCATGCTTACGTTTGCTTTTGTCTCGTCTCGTTTCTTTTGCAGATTGCATTTTGGAATCGCTTGTTCAATGGCGAGCACATAACACGCCAGCGCTTCAGGTAAGTTCCAGCTGCAACTTTCGTATGCAACTTTAACTCGCAACTTCGAATGCAACTTTCATTGTTAATAAGTCGAAGAGCCTCTGCTTGCATTCTGTCGGTCCGCCCTAGTCTTGTACTTAACCACTGGGGGCAATGCATTGGCTTCAATTTCGGTAACGACTACGTGTACGTTTACGTTTACACTGTACAGAGGGGTGAACAAACGGGCATATTCGTTCTATAAATTGCCTGCACTTGTGGGTTAGCTAAGGGGAAAGGAAAGAAACTGCTTAGTCAGGCAGCTGTATATATCAAACTTCGCTACAAATAAGTATAGTCCCTGTATATCACAGTTTGACAATCACTGCTTCAGCATTAAAGTCATAGTTAACAGTTTGACAACAGAGAAGAGTTAACATTCAGCAGCACAACTGCACAGATCAATCCATATATATAGCTGCCACGCCCCAAAAATCTATATGTCACAGTTTGACAATCACTGCTTTAGCCTTAGAGTCTTTGTTAACAGAAAAGAGCTCACTTTCTGCAAACTCAAGCGGCTCAACTGCACAGACCAAGTCAAATATATAAGTCACGCCCCCAACACCCACAAATTACAAATACAGTTTGACAGCCACTGCCTTAGCTTTAGAGTCTTTGCCAACAGCCGAAAGCTGCCTGCATCAAGTTGCGAACAGAGCATTCAAGCAGTCGGCTATGGCCGTTTGCAACGCTTGTTTTTTTTCTCGTTTCTGGTTACGTTTTTGCCTCGTTCTCGGTTCGATTCATCGGCCGCAGGGAGCTGCAGAGCCTCAGCGTGGCAAAGGCAGCACACAGGTTAGTTTGTCACATGGTTCATTGCATGGTCCCTGGCCACTGGCGAAGCTCTCTGGCTCAAGAGCTTCAACGTGACCAGCAGCACTTATTAAAATGCACATGCATGTCTGCCATTCCCCCACTTTTCCTCTGGCTTTTGCTCTCTCCCCCCTCACCAGCTTTCTACTCTGTATGTTGTTTAAGCACTTTAGCTTTGATTTGACTTTTCGTAGGGTCAACTTCATGAAGTACCAAAAGCCGGAGCGCAAAATCGACCTCAATCGCAGCGAGGTATATAAAGTCATACATCATCTGGATCGTGCACCTGTCCGTGGCATTGAGGTGCGTGCACCACTCGTGGCAGCCGAATCGGATATACGCCAAGCGTTGCAGTCGTAGAATTCCCATTAAGCAGTTCTGTTCAACCAATGTAATAATATTCTAAGCAGCTCGACAAATATATAGAAAAACTATGAATATGTGCGGGCTTAAGTATTTGCTTGTTGTTGTTGTTGTTTTAGTTGTTGCTGCTGTTGCTAATGTGTTATTACATAATTTGTGAGTGTGTGTGTGTGCGCGTGTTTGTGTTTGTGTGCAGCACGGCGTATGTGTAATATGCCAAGTGTCAAACGGCTGCGAATTGTTATGCATGTTGGCAGCCGCAGGGCGCTTGCTCTTGCAATTTTCTTTTGCATAAACACGCGACACCCACATACACTCTCTGTGTGGGTGTGTGTGTGTGTGTGTGACATGCTTTTGGAATTTGCATATGTTAAAGTAAATGAATTGGGCTGTAAACGAAATGAAACCAAATTGCAAAATGACAGCCAGCAGCACAATATAACAATAAACTCGTATTTATGTAGTTATGAGCACACACACACACACACACTGACACACATGGTATATCAAGTTCAGATTCGAAATGGTTGCCACGTTATGCCGGGTCGAAGGTTGCGCACATTTCACTTGCCCTCGGTCACAGGCACGCATAAGTATGCGGATACTATGGTTATATTCGCGTTAACGCACACGGATACCAAATTATTAGCCATTTGTTTTTTGTGTTTTTTGTTTGTTTTTTTTTTTCTTTTTTTTTTTTTTGCTTCTTTTGCTTTCGTTAAAAGTCGTAAAAACGCGCCAAGTACACGAAAGTTATGATTAGATTACGTTGCGGACTCGCACTTCACCCAGCACTCGGCGACGTGACTTTGATGGCGTCTCGTCCTGAACTGTCACTGTCACAATATGTTGGCATTTTGACTTCGCATTATCACTGAAGTTGGCGCTGGCGCCCAGTCCCCACACAACATGTTGGCATAGTCCTTTGAGTGGAGTTGAATTGCGTTCCACTCGAGTCTTGGGACAGCTTTCCATGTTGACCATATCGAGCTTTTCAACTGCAGCGAGCTTGAGTCGAACGTTGACGAGCTTTGACTGTGTTTTGTGCCAGAAGGAATCAGTAGCAGGCCAGCTTCAACTCAAGCATGTTGGCTGGCTAAAGGAAAAGTTGTTTGAGAGCAGTATCAACATCGAAATAGGCGCAAAATATTACAATTAAAACGAATTAAAATCAATTAAAAATCATTGTAAAATGGCAAAAAAAAAAAAAAAAAAAAAAAAAATAGAATATATATATTATAATAAAATGTAATAGTTCAAAAACCAAAAGTATCCAGTTTGAGCTTAAAAATTCGAAGGGGTTTAATTAGGTATTTAAGAAACTTATTCACAACATCTGTCACGAGGATCAAGCGTCTATTCTTCACAAGAAGTCTGTGCTAAAGCATTTCTATGCTTCACTTCATAGCTGCACTCAGTCTTTCGCTCACTCATATTAAATACTGAAAGGTAATTCCATCAAAGCCAATGACATTGATCGATAGCAATTGCTGAACGTCAAATTGACCAATGATATTTGAGCTACAGACATGTATTAGCTCACTCAATTTTACACACACACTAAGCGAGCAAAGAGAGCGGCAGCACGAACAGCACCATTTACTTATAACGGCGCCTAAGCAATCAATGGACCAATGGCGTAGGAGCAGCAGCCATCATATTAGCTCTTCTCTTTGTCTCACACGCTCGTCTGGCGCTCTTCTCATATGAACAGGATCGTAAGCAAAGTTCGCTCCTTAAGTACAAGCTATCCGTCTCACTCTACCCTTCACGTTTTATATGCTGACATTTGATTACATTTCTGCATTTAAACGACATTTGATATGGTTTTATATTTTATTTTGAATTTGAATTAAACAAACTAGACAACAACTACTTAAGAGTAAGTATCGTACGAGTACAAGTACATGCAAGTTACATAAAAATAGGTTAAGTTCGTAATGCCAGTCGCACCGAACGGATATATGTGTATATATATATATGTATGTTTTAATTTAAATCGGATTACGACTAATAAGACAATAAGTATAGGTAATTCCAAAAAAAGGCAAAAACTTACAGCAGCTACGTCACAACGGGGCGTTCACTTTAGAAGTGTGCGCTAAGCGAAGTACGCAAATTTAGTTTTATATTTTTTTCTTTTTCTCAATAAATTTCTATTCAATAAATTTAGTATTTTTAAAACTTTTTATTTTATATATATATATATATTGTGTTGTTAAATCTGGTATTTTTCGGGGATTTTTGTTTGTGTGTGTTTGACACTAATTATCACTACGCCAGTAGAAGCCAAATAGTTTGATTTTGTTTCTAAGAATGCTTCTTCGTGTTCATTGCTCTTTCGATGAGACTAAACCGAGTTTATTATTGTAAATATAGTTATCTATATACATATATATAGATATATATACGTGTGTATGTATGTATATGCAAATTTATTTATTGCTAATAATACGCGAGAAACGAGCAAATAATCAACGAGAATAAATCAAATATATATGTATGTTTTCACTTTTCACTTTTCATTTTCATTTGTGTTCATGTGTATGTATGAGGCAAAGTTTTCGTCTTTGTTTTTCTTTCTTCTATTCTCATAAATAGTTTTTTGTGTGTGTGTTTTTTTTTTCGCTAAGCAAACATTTTGTCATAAGGCATAAATGCGGGTCCTCAGTGCACACCAGATGCTTAACGAACTTGAGTCTTTTCTTTGAATCTCTTGTTCAGAATCGCTCGTTGGTTATCAGTTTGAAGTAATCCGTTATCGGTTATCGACAATCATTTATCGGTAATTCAGCTACGAATTGGTATTTGTATTTAGCACACATTTCTTTTTCTTATCCTTTTCCTTTCCTTTTTAGGTACAACGTTTTCTCTTTCCACTTGAGTTTTCAGCTCTGCCACCCACCTCAATCAGCTGTGACCCTTACAATCTAATAGGCTTTCAGGTGTGTTTCTCCTTTGTTTCTTTGTTTACTTTTAGGCTACATCCTTCTCTCTAAATACTAATGCAGGTAGTTCGTTAACACGATCACCACAAATTTCTCACAAACAATTTGTGTTTGTATTTGTTGATGTTGTTGCTGGTTTTGTTGTTGTTGTTGTTGTTTTTGCTTTTGTTGGGACGCGGCTTGGCTTTAATACTTTGAATACTTAGATTAAAAAACGAACTAGTTAAATTTGGCCTAAACCTGAGCTCGGACATAGTCCGACTACAGTTGCACCTAAGTCACTAAGCTGGTATGGTCGTCTGCTCGTAGAAGTCGGGCTCGTCCTCGTCGGCCTTGACCTCGCTGCCATCCAACTAACGGAAACAGAAAGAGAGATAATATTCAATTATTTCAAATATTAGATTAGATTGGATTGTGCCATTTACCGCTTGTAATTCCTCGGGCTTATAGATCGAACCCAAGAGCTGTCGTATGGGCACCATCAGTATCAGGAAGAAGGGAAAAGCCAGCGAGAACTTGGATGACTTGACCGTCCACAGGACAACCAGGCAGAGCACCTGTATGGCCGTAAACATATTCATCTTCCAGGGTCGCACACGCTTCACATAGTTTGTGGGTGGATAATGCTTGACTGGCATGAAATACAGTCTTATGCTGGAATGCAAAAATTGAAAAAGTTCAGCAGAGTTCTCGAGGGCTTAAGTCAATCCATGCTAACCGTTCAAAGAGCTGCACGCCACTCATCGAGGCCACGCCCATATAGAGAAAGACGCCAAAGAGCACGGCCATGGGTATGAGTCGGAGCAGCGGCGCCATCAGCACCGACAGCCCGATCATGACACACACAAAGAAGCCGGACAAACGCTGCTCCTTGACGTCAATGATGCGCGGCGATTCACCGGGTGCGTGAGTCCTGAAGAGATGAGAAGAGGAAGAAGTTAAATAGTTAGTCATGCCCTGAACAGCAGCGAGATCAGGAAGAGGTGTACGCACCGAGACATCACTGTCACCGACGACACATGGGTCACGGATCGCACGGTGGCTGCACAATGCCAGGGCATGCCGAAGAGGCCGCAGAAGGTGTTCAGCAGGCAGAGCAGCACAATGTCCCAGTGCAGGCCAGAGCCCTTCTTGAGGCCACGATCGGGCTTGTCGACAATCAGCTCGGATATCTGGGACTCCATGAAGATCAGGATGTAGACCAGCAGAGCTGGCACCGCACAGGCAAACGGCACCCAGGTCTCGCACGGATTGAAGCCAATAAACCAGCCACGGCGCACCGGATCGCTGGGCGACAGACCCTCGGGCACCACCAGCTTCTCGGTGTAAACGGACGGCACCATATAGTCGACCAGCACGAACATGGCAATGGAAATGGGTACGCCGAAGTCGCCCAGCGCACGGCGGGCATTGCGGCCGAGGAAGTGCGAGTTGCGGAAGAGTTTCAGGTAGTAGGCAACCACAAAGGTCGCCAGAGTCAGTATGGTGCAGAAGAGCGCCGTGTTGGGCTGATTCGTGGGCATCTTGGGCAGCGCTGGAGGCGCCACTGTGGAGCTGGCGTTCACCAGAGACACGCTTATGTTAAAGTTGGTCTCATTGTGGTGCACCAGCGTCGGCGGCGGCAGATTGTAGTCGGGCAGCAGCGGGTTGAGCTTGTAGATGGACACCAGCTTCATCATAGTCTCCACAATGTAGATGAGCGTGATCAGCGCCGAGAAGATCTCCTGCGTGAACCGCGTCAGCAGCCGCACATAGACGCTGCCCTCGAAGGCGGACACGCACAGCGCTATGATGATCAGCCAGACGCCCACGTAGACGCGCACCGATAGAAAGTCAAAGTGGTACTCGTTGCAGAAGACAATCAGCGCCTCATCGAAGAGCAGCAGGGGTCCGGTGGTGCCAATGATGACGAGCGGCTGGCAGGAGAGACAGTGGAAGATGATGCCCACTAGGGAGCAGGCAATCAGCGTCTCCGGTATGCCGATCCAGTTGTCCGTCTTCGCCGAGGCCAGACCACCGAAGGTGATGGCCGTCGACAGGCAGGCGAAGTACATGAAGATGGTGGCCGCCAGAGTCTCCGTGTTGAGTCCGTCGAGTATGTCGCTCTTGTACATGGGCATGCGACGCTTCAGGTCGTTGCACAGGCCGCCCCACAGCCGATGCGTCTTGTCCAGGGGACTGGGGCGCTTCTTCTTGCCATCGTCGTCATCGTCGCCGTCGCCATCGCCGCCGGGGCCACCTGGCCCGGTGATGGCGCCCAGTGCCTGCTTCTCGAGCAGCGCCTTCTCCTCATCCCTGCCGATTTTGATCATCTCGCTGTCGCGCTTCACCTGCAGCGCCTTGATCTTGCGCGTGCGAATCCAGTCTTTCTTGGCCTTCAGCTCGTCGAAGGGCAGCAGATCGTGACGGTCCCAGTTGCCAGGCGGCAGCACAATGGAATCATCCAGGAACTCGTTGATGGCCGACAGCAGATCGCGGCGATCGTCCGCCTTATAGGCAATGGCATGGAAGTGCTCGTTGGCCATCAGCGTGGAGATGGAGCGACCCACCTCATGGTAGTCCAGATCGAAGTTGCGTGGCCCCAGCAGCACAAACATGAAGCGCACCGGCACGGGCACCTCCGTCAGAGTGGGCATAAGCACGCCCTCCGACAGACGCACAAAGGCAATTGTGGGCTGCTCCAGGAACTCCACGGCGCCC